GCCGTGGCTGACCATTGTTATAACGCAGTGGGCTCGCATGACATTGTTTTTTCCGAGACCAAGGTACTCTGCAAACCTTCGGGCTACTATCAAAGGTTTGTTCATGAAGCCCCCCCCCCCCCGCGCATCCCCAGCTCTCTCAGCCCCGCCCACTTCCAGCCCCGCCCACTTCCCCCCGTCCAGCGTCACGTCCCTCTCCTAGCGTCCAGGCAACGTTTCCCCTACCCCCTCCCTCCCCCCTCCCCCCCCTATTACCTATATAACCTCTTACCACGGCATCTCTCTCCCACTTCAGCAAAAAATGTTATTGCTGTAGTTTTCCCACCTGATGATGATGATTGCTTGTGTTGCAATCGAAACGTCGTGATTTATTTTTATTTTATACCTACGTGACTTTACCGAGAGAGAGAGTGCAGAGTTATTGCTGAAGATTAATTATTTTATCAGCGGCTACGTTTTAAGTTCAACCTGGGCCACCATTTGCCATGTCTCAAATAAGCCACGATTGAAGCCTTGCCTCATCAATATCGCACGATGGCCGCGAGAAGGATCACTTTGCAAACGTCTGCAGTTGTGTCTCATCGCGGAGAGCTTCGTGTCGAAGTTCTCAAACACTTCATAGAGCAGCTGGCGTGACTTTAATTGCGACTACAACGGAAGATGAACTCGACGATCTGTTGCCATCTTGGGATTTCCTGGTCAACAAGTCAAATTGTAATTGTGAGCTAATACATTTACAAATGAAATGGCTATTCTGTTCGAGTGACGGTCTTCAGAGATTAGGTGGGTCTTTAATCACCCTTCGTGTTCATAAGCAGAGGTCTTCTCAGTATGAAAATCATCGCATGCAATCATTTTTAGTTTAGTTTTTAGTTTATTTATTTTGGTATAGCCCTGTGAGCCATTCGGCTCTTGAATCGGGTGCAACCACAACAAACAAAAAAACAAAAACACGAACAAGAAAAACATCTTAAAGTGACTATGTGACTATGCAAACAGAAAATCCATGAAAAAAACAGCAAAATATTCCTGAATCACGTTTATCATCTGTGGACTCTTCAGTTTTCCACGTATGTAGTTGGGTTCCTTCTAGACCAGGGTTCTTTAACTGGAAGCCCAAGAGCCACATGTGACCCGTGAAGGCTCTTTTTTTAAGAACGGCCCATAAAGACACAGATGGGTGAGAGAGATGAGCAAGGGGTGCATATAAGCGAGCCCAAGATAAACGAGAGACAGGTGAGAGTGCTATAGACAACAGCTTTGTGAAATTTGATAAGAGGTAGAGATGAGCTGTAAATAAGATGGAGATTAGTGAGATGAAAGCAAGATAAATAAGGGGGCGATGAGCTGAATGCAAGGGCACATTTTAGCAGTCAAAAGTGTACAGATGCTGTGAAGGCGCAATGCTACGTGACTGCATGTTTGTCCATGCGATGTAAGATCTTAGGTGGCCTGCCAGCACATTAAATGTGTTCTGGCCTGCTAGAATATATCGTTGAAGAGCCCTGCTTTAGGCCTCACGATATTCAAATATAGAGGGGCGCATTGTGAAGAAGTGCATCAAGGACGAATCCAAAGGGAACCTGTCTTTACAGTTGCTGCTCCACCTATAACTCAACACAGGTAGGGACAGGCCAGCTTCGTTGCACTTTTAAATTACATTTTAGATCGATCTGTGTTTCCCCATGTCCTGTGTCAATACACTCGGCATGATTATAAGTACAATAAGTCACGTATCGTATGGAGGTTAAGGGACGCGTTTGGGCAGTGGCATCACGTGGTGGGTTTTGGACCCTGGTGAAAGGGATTAAATGGGGCCCCCCAACCCATCAACTACCCCCCACCTTCATGGTTTGGCACCTGGGCTCCTCTGGCTGGTGTGTCCCGGTGCAGTTGCACCGCCTGCACACTTTGATATATACGGTACTGCCCGCTGTGGTTGCCGGGATTTTTGCTTTTAGATAAAAAAGGAACATGAGTTTCATCCTTTTAAAGTATATATTTTAAAAATAATAAAGGCACCATGCACTGTTATCATAAACATATTAATAGTAACAGTATTCCAATTATTTACATAAAATTCAAGGCATGTACTTAAACGTGTGCAATTATCCTACAAACCACTCATTAAAAAAATTAATTGACAAACACGTGTGTCTGTATTTGTCCTCAAAAGCCGGTTGGATTTTTCATTTTCAGTTTTACAACTTTTAATCCAAATAAAAGGCAGTCTTAAGCCTCATTTTTATACGACAAATTGTATATGTTGTCGAGAGATTTTTTTGAAAGTACAAACAAAATATGAAATGCCTGTTGACGGCATTGAAATCGTGTGCGGCACCACTAAGACATTCATGTGGCGTCCGCTTCGAGGCAGGGACCTCTACATCCTTGTCGCCAACCAAGAAGAAGACTGTGTATTTACCCGAGTCTACCAGGAGAAGGTTGGGGTGCTGTGGCACGGCCTGTTCGCCACGTGGCCAACCTGTCCTTGTCTGGACGCCCTGCCTCAAGAGATGTCTTCTCGGCACCTCCTCAACGACCAGGAGCTTGCTCTCTCGACTACCCTGTCGAACCAGCCCCGCTCAATGCAGTTGACACCGAGTCCGCGCCGGGAACATATGATTATTGGGAATGTAAATGTTTAAATTCCTTTACCGAGTTGCGCCCGAGTGAGACAGGGAGACACAGAGCCACACAGAGAGTATCAGGGTTGGGACCCCCAGACCCCCTGGAAGATTTGGATTAAGAGACAAACATGGACACAAGGAGACACAGGGTGCCAGTGGTCCTGGTAAAAGTGATACACGAGTCAAAGAGGCCAGTGCTCTGTGAGCCCACAGGATTTTAAGTCCAACCCGAGTTATCTTGTGATCGTGATCTGGAGTCCCAGTGTGAAAATGAATCAGAGAAACACGGTTAGAAGTGTAACGCTGCTTACCTTGTAACCATGATCTAGTGCTGTGGTTCTTAACCTTTTTTTGCAGCCTTGCATCCTTTTGGTTCTGAATCGTTAAATAATGTATTTTTTTTATTTAAAGCTTTCGTGACTGCAGGGATTCATATTCTTCATTCTTTCGGTAAAGTCACGTAGAAGGGAAATAATAAAATATATATATTTTTTATTTTATTGTTTCCCTTCTACGTGACTTTACCGAAAGAACCAAAAAATTTATTGTTAATAAATACATATTTGATTAAACAAAGTAGTACTTACGTGCCTGTGCTTAAGTTGCTTTGATGATATACTTTCCAAAAGAATCTGGCCATGTCTCACACCCCCAGAAAGAACCACTGATCTAGTGGGACAGGAAGCAGGGAATCGCAGGCATTATTACAAAGCGGTGTATCGCTTGGATCCAGTTGGGACAGGGAACTGGGACGCCCAGGTATGTAAATGCAAAGCAACCTTTCACTTGCTAACATTTTAGCATCATAGTAAACACTAGGCTGGTAATATCAGGTAGCCAGGCGGTTTGCCACTGCGTGCTCCCGGTGACTCTCAGCCATGTGGTCCAGGTAACAACGCGGCGATTCACCTTGGGCGGCGATCATATTGGCGCGTGCTGCAATCGGTCCCCGGGCTCAACCCTCTACTGACCCTTATGTGCTGACAACACGACTCACCTTGGCAGGGTCCATCTACCTTTGCTTCCACACATCTATGACCTGCTCCTGTGTGGAGTTCACGGCATTCGTGCACCCAGGCCGTTTCTGCATGAGCAATGCCCTTGTACTCTCGACCAGCACTCCTTGGCAACTCGTTTTCTCTCCAGAGCAAGGAACCACAAGGACCCAAGACTGGAACTCTGTGGACCGGCGTGGCAGGTGCATACAAATATCCATGTTGCCATAGTGCACCTTGCAATGAAGGATTAGGAATTCGCAACTGACACTTAGCAAATTTAGCTGTGGCTTTTGGCGTTAACGAGATATTATTTGTAGCCAATATTAGTCTCCGTATTTCATCCTGGGTGAGTGCCAGAAAGACTGAGTGGAAAAGGTGGAATAGAAGGGTTAGACGTACACCTCCATCTAAATCACAGCTATTAAGTATGCAGCACTGCACTGAAACTACTTTAATATCCTGAAAGGTTACATTGGTAATAAACCTCAGTAAAGTATACGGGAGGTTGTGGGTATGATCCCAACCCTGAAGCCTGTATATTTGGAGTTTGCATTTTCTCCCCGTGGTTGCGTGGATTTTTCTCCAGGACCCTCCAGTCTTTCCCTTAAAATGTATAAACGTGTTTCAAGGCCGTAGCCATGGAGTCAATATTGGAGGGGACCAAATCTTCCAGGGGGTCCCAACCCAGAAAAATATATAAATTTGAAAACTCATTTCCTGCCAAAAGTATTTAAAAATTCACGAACACATGGGATGAACTTTTTTTACAATGTCTAATAGTGTATTGTATTACATTGCTGTTTTTACTTTTTTACCATTTCTTGTTTCAGTGTATATGTTTGAGATTAGGGATGAATAAAGTACAACCATAACCACAATCATATAAACAGCAATATATGCATTGATTTATATGAAGACAAATTCAGATATTGTGGCCAAGGTTTAGCAAATTGTTTTTATTTACATAGCATAGCAATTATTATTACTTTTTACATTTTTTATAGCAATATATTGGGGGGGACATTTTGAGCATATTTGAATATTGAGGGGGATGTGTCCCCCCAATATATATTATAATTACGGCCTTTATGTGTTTAGAGTCTTTGGCTGCTATAAATTTCCACATGATAAGCTTCGTTGGGAAATCATGTGTCCAAGTCGCTTCTGAAAAAGTGCTTTATAACTCAGTGGACCTCACCTGGTCAAAAAATGTTTAGTTTTTAAATTACTGAGAAAGCATGCAATTTTATATTTAGAGCATTCATAACAGAACAAGAAGGATCACTGTCACCACCAAATAACTTAAATGTCTGGGGCTAACCGTTACACGGCAGCAAGCATCCACAACACATACGAGTAAGAGTAGATACAATAAGAGCCAATATATCTTTATTTAAACCAGTTCACCAGACATCCCTCGGAGGCACACGTGCGTGTACAAACGCACACAATCCCGTGCCGATGACAGCGAGAACAAGCGTGTTCACACCCATGTGGGCGTGCGAGTATGTGTACACGCTCGTGTGCGAGTATGCATAAGTTCTTTAATATTTAAAGCAATGGTCGTTATTCAGTGACTGTCGTGGCGCTGCTGGCATCGTCCTGAAGAGACAAAACCAACATCACCGATTAAGCACAAAAATCATTACTTATTGAACAAAATCCATCACTGACTTATGATTTTACTTTCTTACACTTGTTTACCCACGAATGTCTCGCTTAAGTCTCGTGATTTTTTACAAGGGTTCTGCTATGCTTTGCATAGGCTTGTGTGTACTCATGTGCCCGTGTGTGCATCTATTTGTGCGGCCATGTGTGTCTACTCATGGACTCGCCAGCGACTGAAACCAGTGGAGTCTCAAGATTTTCCTCTGTGGAATAGGGATTGTGAAAGGCGTGACAGCAACTAAGGATGGCAGAAGAGCAATATTCACTACAACGAGCAAAGTGCCAGGTGGTTAAAACAGCAAGTTGGCAAAATGAAAATAGGTGGTGCATCTGTTAAGCCATAACACCTAGGCCTGCCTAGGTCTGCCTAGGTGTTACGGGTTAACACTTCATGTGGCATAAAAAGAACGTGGTGACATCATCACGACTTATTGGCGATGGGCAGTTGTTGCCGTCTACTCATCTGTGTAACTGTGTATACGAATGTTACTAACCATGCGCCTACTCATGTGTCTGTGTATATGCGTGCGTCTATTTGTGTGCCCATACCTGCACATATGCCCCGTGCACGAGGTATGGTTTCTGAAAGTCGCGCTGGCAGTTGGAGTACGCCATGCCAAACCCAGACCCCGCCCCAAACACCACTGGCCATGCCCGCCCTGTAAACATAAACACATGTAAGTACATTTACAAAGATCCCCGAAATTAGCCTTTTACAGACTGTTCGGGCAAATGCTGTTCATGAGCATATATTAAAGTCGACAAGCACATGAGAGGGTTGGTGGCCAAAACCACGCCCAGCTGTCTTTGCCTCCCCATTGCTGAAGTTTATACATCGCATCAGGTACTCATTTAAGGGTGAGTCGACCTCGGAGAGGCCCAGGACCAGTTCAGATAATTGTCACTGGTGTTGGCCGTGAGCAAGAATTTGAACTCGGGTCGCCGGGTTCATAGCACAGCACGCTAACTGCTACACTACCACATAATAAACACACACATACTAAATAACCATTTTGCCTATTGGGACTGTTTGGACAAATGCTGTTCGTTAGCATCTATGAAAGCCAGCATGACACAAGATATTCTGTTGTGGCCAGTTCCATGCTTAGCAGCATTTGTATGTCCTTTATTGATGTGAAAAAACCACAACAGGTTCTCATTCAAGGCTAGGTTAAGCTTGCAGAGACCCAGGACTGGTTCAGATATCACTTGGCAGTTATTAGCCATAAACTCAGAAAGCCAAATTTGTCACACAGCGTGTTTTCCACTGTCTTCACTCCTCATGGCCTTAATATTAGCTTATTAATCAGTTGACGATGGGTCATGAGCTGTGCGTGTTGGATAGTGATGACTGATGTTGGATGACAATGGGTGATATTGTATGGTGATGTGTTATGGTCGATGTTGGGTGTGCTGATGTGTACTCACTCTTGAAGAAGATGACTGAAAACACAAGTCCCACAGCAAGACCTGCACCTGTGGATCAGAGTCAAAAATGGTGTCAGTACTCTCACACCACAGACATTCATCCATCAATAGAACTACTAGCGATACTGTCAATACGAGCATTATCCAACATTAATAACATGAATGCAACCACCAATTGTCAAAAACACAAACACTGATCATCTACCATCAACAATAATAGCTGCCAATCGCTATTAAGTGGCAGTAATGTTACCACAGAGCTTGTAACAGACGAATTGCATTTTAAGGCCGTAAGTGCTGAAGTCTCATAGGCATGAAGCCACAGGGCAGACACAGGTTATAGGTGACATGACCGAGATGCACTAACTGCACTCCTATGCCACCTAGCTGTATTTTAGTCATCTGGCGCTCTGTTCATTGTCGTGAGCATAGCTCATCCTCCTCTGCATTGTTGATGGAGGGGAGCTGTCTCCAAATGCCCAATACCATCCTTCACAAGTCTCCCGACACAATCGGTACTAGTTATTGTCAAGTCCTCTCAGCTTAAAGTCCTCCTGTACCACATCAGCCCATCTCCTCTCTAGCCCGTGTTGTACCAATCTGCCAAACAGAAGCTGCTGGGACAATGTGTTGGCTGTGCACAACGGCTACCATGACCCAGTAAGTGCATTTTCACCTGCCGGACAAGCGCATTGACAATGTGTCCAGAGCTTTCAAGGATCTGTGAATGTCTAACACAATACAGTCTGAATAAGCGAAGAATGGTTCACAGGCAGGTGACTCGATGTTTCAAGCCTGGCAAGGTGATCTTGCAGAGTCCACAAGAGCCTGAGACTCATGGCCTCCCAAAACCTCACCACCAGGCTTTCACACACCCTTCATGCTTTTAGTCATAAGTGCCACTCAATGTTGTCTGATGTTAGTCTTCTGCCAGTAGATAACTGTCCATCCTTCATGGTGACAGGAAGGAAAACCAGTCCACGAAGAACTCCTATATTTTGCATGGTTCCAGGTGGTGCCAGTCATTCTACTGACAAAGGAATGGCAGTCGGGGAATTTGATTCATTTCCTGCCGATTCTGGAGGTTCTCCAAGGAGGGATCTTCAGTCCTCCACTAAACAATGTCTGGCGAAAGGGACGTTATCAATGTATGTCTCCCTCTTGGCTACCAGCACAAACTTATATTTGTTTACTTAAAACTTTCGTGACTGCAGGAATTCATATTCTTTGGTTCTTTCGTGACTTTACCGAAATAACCAAATAATAATTTTTATTTTCTATAATTGCCTGGTAATTTGCCACTGCAGTGGATGTGAGTGGGCCATGTGTTAGTCAGTCAACTAATGTGAACCTTTCCCCCAGTGGCATTGTTGAAAGACACCACAATTCCACATTGTTACCATCTAACACCATATGAAGGTGAATGTTTTTGTTTTCCAGACAACTATAATCAACAAAGACTAAGTTATGAGTAAAGACAAAGTTACTCAGTGTAGACCACATAGACTGTTCGGGCAAGTTCTCTTGGCGAGCACTTATCAAGATTGGCAGCACACAGCAAACTATTAACACAAGCATACATCAACAACATTAACACCCATCACGCAACAAACACAACCACGGCCACCCATATAACTACCAGCACCATTAACACTGATATCAAACACGTTCACCAACACAAGTAGTACTATGCACACAAAAGTTAACAGAACCATAAATATAACCACCAACAAAATCCATCAGCACTACTGCTGTGCCATCATCACAATCACTAATACCTACCACAACCATCAACACAATTATCATCAACCACGACTATCATCGACACCAACCATCACAACACTCGCAGCAATAAACATCACCACCATTACTCACCACTTACTGCCATCCATACGACCACCACAATCACGACAATCATCACAACCACCATCACCGCAACCGTTATCACCACAACCATCACCACCACCACCAACAATGCTCAACACATTCCCACCACGCCCAGTGTATGCAGTGCACATGATGGTGCGGAGTGACCTGCATCAGTGCACCGCGTGCAGTCACGAAATGGGCAATACCCGTGCCTGCGCACGACACAGTGCATACTGTACACCAAAGACACAGATCCCCCGTATAACCTTAACTGCTGGGGCAAGTGCCGTTAGCGAGTAGCTAGCACCTATTAAGGCCGGCAAGGCACACGAGGGGGTGGGTGGCTACCAGCACCACGCCCGACCGCCTTTGTCTCCCCAGTGGCGATGTTTACTACACACCGCACCGGGTACACACTTGAGGCCGAGTCGACCAAGGGTAGGAGACACACAAACCGGTTGAGATAAATCGTCACCGGGTTTTGGTGGCCGTGAGCGGGAATCGAACTCGGCACGTCGGGTTCGTAGCGCGTACACCGCACGCACTTGTCACGTACAGTGCGCACTGTAAGCCAGGGGGGGGCTGCGGCGTACAGTGCTGGGGGGGGGGGGACTGGGGCGTACAGTGCTGGGGGGCTGCGGCGTACAGTGCTGGGGGGGGGCTGCGGCGAAGTGTTGGGGGGGGGGTGTTGGGGGGGGGGGGCTGGGGCGTACAGTGCCGGGGGGGGTCTGCGGCGTACAGTGCGTTACGTGCAGTAGCCCGACTCGGGGGCACATTGAGCCGCGTACAGTGACCGCGTACAGTGACCACGTACAGTGGCCCCCGTGGAACCCAACGAGTTCAAAATCATCCACCGCGTGCACAGTGCGGCTCGCAATGGGCAACTCGGGACTCGCGTTGACCTTGGGCGCAGAGGCCGCGCGCGGACGGGTTTCACCTTCACAGCGACGGCGGTTTCACCATCACCACAACCATCACCACAACCATCACCACAACCATCACCACAACCATCACCACAACCATCACCACAACCATCACCACAACCATCACCACAACCATCACCACAACCATCACCACAACCATCACCACAACCACCACAACCATCACCACAACCATCACCACAACCATCACCACAACCATCACCACAACCACCACCACAACCATCACCACAACCACCACCACAACCATCACCACAACCATCACCACCACAACCATCACCACAACCATCACCACCACCACAACCATCACCACAACCATCACCACAACCATCACCACAACCATCACCACAACCACCACCACAACCATCACCACAACCATCACAACCATCACCACAACCATCACCACAACCATCACCACAACCATCACCACAACCATCACCACAACCACCACCACAACCATCACCACAACCATCACCACCACAACCATCACCACAACCATCACCACCACCACAACCATCACCATCACCACAACCATCACCACCACCATCACCACAACCATCACCACAACCATCACCACAACCATCACCACAACCATCACCATCACCACAACATCACCACAACCACCACCACAACCATCACCACAACCATCACCACCACAACCATCACCACAACCATCACCACCACCACAACCATCACCACAACCATCACCACAACCATCACCACAACCATCACCACAACCACCACCACAACCATCACCACAACCATCACAACCATCACAACCATCACCACAACCATCACCACAACCATCACCACCACCACAACCATCACCATCACCACAACCATCACCACCACCATCACCACAACCATCACCACAACCACCACCACCACCATCACCACAACCACAACCAGTCACTCGCACCACCATCACCACAACCACCACCATCACCACAACCACCACCATCACCACAACCATCACCACCATCACCACGACCACCACCACAACCACCACCATCACCACAACCATCACCACAACCACCACCATCACCAAAACCATCACAACCACCACCATCACCACAACCATCACCACAACCACCACCATCACCACAACCATCACCACAACCACCACCATCACCACAACCACCACCATCACCACAACCATCACCACAACCACCACCACAACCATCACCACAACCATCACCACAACGACCACAACCATCACCACCACCACAACCATCAACCCCCCCCCAACCTTCCTCCTCAATGACAGCCCCCCCCCCCCCGTCAAAGTGTCGACTCGTGTTTGGCGGGCGAGTGGCATCCAAAAAAAAAGCGCATCGCCAATTCGCGTGCGTTGTGAACTTATTACAGACCCATTCAGATCTTATTGGTCAACCAGTGCCCATTACAAACCTCAAAGTTCATCCTACAAAGTCCCATCGCAAGGGAGAAACACAAACAACAAATAAGACTTTTGTTTTAAATATATATAATTGTTTGCCCGTATTGAAACGGCTGTACGCCGTATGGACCTGAAAACTAAAACAGAATACGGTGGGGGGGTTAAGCCGTGTGTGGGTTGGACACGGTATGCATCCGAGGGCATTTAAACATCACTGGCAGGCCGATGGCGCAAATCTTGAAGGAGTGGAAATGTTTCAAGACCGAAGTGCCACCACGGCAGTGAGATTGTGGGCCATGCGCACAACCCTACCCCACAGAGTTGTAGAAGCACGAACAGCAAACAAAAAAACACGACACCAAACTCATCTCTCCATCTCTCTCTCTCCTGAAGGAAGCCCTGTCGGCCGTGGCCAGCAGACAAGACACATCCACGTTGCCCACGCCGCCATGAAAACTGAATTAGCATCGTGCAAAGTGCAGCGCACAAATGACCCAAGCACACACACACAACAACAAAAAATAATCATCTCACCGAATTTCACGGTGGCGTCCGACAGACATCTGTCCCACTTGCGGCCGTGTTCGTGCTCGGACATTGCGTGTTTGTTGTTGCTGCTAAAGAGAAGACGAAGAAGATCAGGGAGACGATGGGAAGGGGAAGAGACGGGGGAGACAAGGAGGGGAACGCGCAGCAGGAGTTGGCCGACTCGCCACGCTTGGGGTCACCAAACTCCCAGTCCGTCCGCTGCCTCTACAATGCGAACTCACGAGAGAGAGAGGTGGGGGAATCGCCTTCTCGTCGATTCCACAACCGTTGAACGATTTTGTTTACGAATCGTAATCGATGTCGTTCGCCACCGCTCTCGCGTGCGCGCGGAGCGAGCGAAGCGGGATTCGTGTTCTTCTGGAGCGCAATCCGATCCGATTCGATATCGCGGTGCTACGTGCGGTCAAGAATCGCGTACAAGGGCGAACGTTTCGATTAACGCGGGATTGTCGATTCCTGATTGGTTTTATTTTTATTTTCTTAAGCTGTTGGGGATATATTGGCAGGTGCTGTGATGGGTCATTGCCCGAAACGTCTACTATTATAGATCGTTTCCTTTCAATGTCGCACAGTGTTATTGACGAATGTGTTGAGGTTTAAAAAAAATAATTCATATATAATCTTGGTTCTTTCGGTAAAGTCACGTGGAAGGGAAACAATACAAATATAAAACAATAAAAAAATATTGCTGTGGTTTTCACACCTGATGATGATTGCTTGTGTTGCAGTCACAACGTCGTGAGAATTTTATTGTTTTATATTTTTATTATTTCCCTTCTACGTGGTGGTGACTTTACCGAAAGAACCAAGAATATGAATCCCTGCAGTCACGATAGCTTTAAATCAAAGTTTGGAATTCATATACTGTAGTTTATTGTTACATACCGAATGATTGTTACTGGGGTGTCACGGTGGCGATAGGTTATCTCGTCGCCTGGTATACAGGAGGTCGTAGGTTCCATCTCATAGCTGTCAATCGATACGGGTTACCCCGTAGTCTTGAACAAGGAAGAGTGAGTGTTCAGTTCCATACAGCGTACAGAAGTTTCAAAAAAATAATGTTGGTCTATTTGTGTTTATCCCTTGTGATGGGACTTTGTAGGGTGAACGTTGATAGTTATAAGGGGCACGGGGGTGGCCAATAAGGTCTAAATTGGTTTGTAATAAGGTAGGGCACTGATAAGGGGTTGACAGGTATGTAGTGGTGAGTGTAGTAATGGTGAGTGTCTATTTGTGTTTATCCCTTGTGATGGGACTTTGTAGGGTGAACGTTGATAGTTATAAGGGGGCACGGGAGTGACCAACAAGGTCTGAATTGGTCTGTATAATAAGTTAGGGCACTGGCAATGGGTTGACAAGTTTGCGAACCCGACCCTGACGCCTTGCTGCTGTATATTTGGAGTTTGCGGTCTCTCTCCCCGTGGTCGTGTGGATTTTTCTCCGGGTCGTGCAAGTTTTCCCCTTCCACATGTAGAATCAACATCACGCATTTAGAGTAGTTGGCTGCTATCAATTTCCACGTGATAAGCCACTTTCGTCGAGATATAATTTGTGGTAGCCAGGTCGCTTCTGAAAAAGCGATGTAGCTCAGTGGGCCTTTACCTGGTAAAAATTTACAAAAGGTTAGTTTTACGTGCACAGCAGCCTCAATCCACTGCTTGATGAGGGGTGATATGGGACGGTAGGGGTTGATTCACCATACTTCACTACGCTGGTCAGTGCGTGGTTGAGGGTGGAGAGCATCGAGTCCTTAATCCATGCAGTCCAATGGAAGCTGTTGCACTGCCCTCTGCTGACAAAACATAAAACGTTTTGTTAAGTGTTCAGTGTTTTGGTATTGGTTATCACGACGCAAATGTGACTCATTTAAGGGTCCATTTCACGAACGTGTAGCCGTGTTTTTGAATACACGAAACGAGACCCCCGAAAACATCCTCCAACTCACGTGCCTCTTATCACAGTATTCCCAGCTGGAATTCAACTTACATTCGGGCATCATTCATCCACTGTTCAACAGGCCCATGCGTTCATCTCCTCCGTAAATTAAAAGTTAAACGATTATAAACGTGCATCCCCAAAATATGGACCATGCAGCAAACCACTGGCATCTATGATCCTTCAACGGACAGGAAAACTACACGCTCTATCCTAAAGCCCTCTCTCGTTTTGGACAGCAGGCCTGGACATTGTCATAATACGCAATAGAGAAACCACCGTTGAATAAAAGGTTCCCTAAGCCGTCCCCAACCATCCTGGTTCTGCAATGCAATACAATCCGCCCAGCGCTTGCACACCAGTCGATTTCAAAGCTCCATCTATATGTAGTGACTGGGAATGTCACTGTGTGGTGCCGGGCTTGCGAGGCCACGGCGGGATGGACACTGTCGTGGGTACACCCCGGACACACGGGGTGTAGCACCAGCCCTAGTGGGGGCTGGTGCTACACCCCGGACATACGGGGTGTAGTACCAGCCCTAGTGGGGGCTGGTGCTACACCCCGGACACAAGGGGTGTAGCACCAGCCCTAGCGGGGGCTTCGGTGAGCGCTGGTGAAGCGTGGTGGCACCACGCACAGCGTGCGGCGCAGGCTCCCGTTGAGACAGCGAGTGTCAAGACAGCTAGGGTTACGTTGGGGGCATGATACTCTGGCTGACCTGAGGCCATGTGACCCGATCATACTGGAGGGAGGCCACTGGGGGAGGGGGCTAATGGGTGGTCACATGGTCTAGGAAGAACTCTCGAGAGCCTTCGGGCAAGGACGAGAGATGGAGGTGGGCAGGGCGAGAGTTGGAGCCAGCCCCAGCCCGATTTAAGTGAGGCCCTGTGGGGGCTCTGGGTTCTTACTGTTGGAGAGGCAGGAGATCCACGTCAAGCTTGAAGCCTCCAGCCACGCGGTCCAGGACCCAGCTTGTGGTCCGGACCGGGATAGTGGAACTGTCTAGTTTCGCCGTAGCGTGGTTAGTTGGGTGGTCACCACCCGATAGTGTGTTGTGTTAATAGCCTGGAGTATGTTGCGCTAAGAATTTAATAAAATGTGTTGCTCCCAAGACGTCTGCGACTCAGTTGGACTCACTACATGTACAATGGACATCCTCTTGGGCACATTCTTTCTTTGGCTGCCCTTCGGTTGGTATCCAGATTCACCAGCCACTGATCCTTTTATGGATGCATCCCACGCCAAGCCTACTTTCCTCAATCAAAATTGTATTTAACTTGCATGTTCGACAACCAATGCGTCACTCATCCTGTAATGTAATCCCAGACATGCATGTTGCATACTTCAGTTTAAGCTGCCATCTTCATCAATGTTCATGAGTTATGATAGGTAATACCAACTTAAAAACAAGTATTTAGATATATTTATATGTTTGTTGCTTTTCATTATCAAGTGAAGTTTTTCAAAAGCGTGTTCATCCACGCTTCATTTCATCCTTTTTATCTCAGTCCACGTTCATCACCTGCCCTAGGTATATATTGTTTTCCAGTGGTGTCCCTTGGACGTACCAGACAGTTATACACACAATAACACAATAATGTAAATCATTTTAATTGAAATATAAATATGACGGCACACACATCGACACATGCTCCACAAAAAAAACATGCTCAATTGCGCCTTGGGGTGCCTATTTTAGGCAACAATATCCATTATTGCAGGTACACACGGGTGTGCGTGTAAGCACAAGTCAGATTTGAACTCCGCATTATTGTGTGCAAGCAACTTTCCATGTACCTGCAAACACTGCAAAGGGTTTGTGCATACATGTGATGAGATGTAGGCACAAATACATGTTACACAATGTTAGGGCAAGTGCTGTTAACGAGAATCTGAGGGTGACACGGTGGATGCGCAAGGATGTAGTGTCAGGACACACAAACCCAGAAGTCTGGTCTCCCTAATGCAAGCTGTCGCCCACCACACCAGGTGCTCAATTATAAGCAAGTAAACTTCAAATATCACTCCTTGCTGGTGTTGAGCACCACAGGGCAACGTGTAACCTGGGTCATTGGGATAATTTCTTAGGATCAAAACCACTCGTAACTTCCCACAGACAAAAGGTAATGTCAGTGTGCAATTAGGGGCAGTGTGCGAATGCAGACATGCAGGCCGTGCGACTACACCGGGGTACATGGGCCGGAGGATCCCAGATGCCAAGCTATGCAGAGGGAACAAATTGGCCGGGGGGGGGGGGCTCCATGGTTCCATTATTAGATGTGGGGTTCAACACCGGTGACAAGTGATAGCTGAATCTCAACACACACACAATCACTCACACACACAGTGTGCAATCACAGTCATTCCCATTAGCATTCACAGCACGAGCACCCACTGCCACAAGTCACTCCCCGTAACATTCACTCGCGTGCACACTCAAAGTGTGCACTCCCACTCTCTCTGTCATTCCTCACTCAATTACTTTACAAATAACATCACCGACGCATTCACTCCTGGCACACGCACGCTCACAGCTCAGAAAGCCAGTTTCTTGATGAGCAGGTAGACCCTGGAGTCCACCTCGAACCCATGCAAGTTGTTGGCGTCGCCCTGTAAGCGCATGAGCAGCCCCCCAAATGACACGTAGGCAGCCCTGTGGGGGGCGGGTTGAAAGAGGGGAGTGAGGAGGCTCGATTAGCGATTCAACGTCAGAAAAACAAGCGCGTTCCAAATGCAGGCTCGGAAAGCTCGTCGTTGCGATCATTTCACCAAATTTTAAGTAGGCCGTCATATTTTTTGATCAGCTATTGGTTAAAATAAAGAATAGGAAAGCCAACTTAATATAATATACATTAACTCCCGAGGAGGTACTGCAGGAATTTTGTTTACTCAAATAATGACGAACAGAGGGCTTAAGTATATACTGCATGCCTTCCTTTTCGCTCAAAAGAACTATCGGGTCGCCATGGTTAAATCCATAGCACGTGTCAGCTAACCTGTGCAAATTGCAAGTGGAATTGCATGTAAACTGTAACTTTCAAACGAATGAGTCAATCCATATTAGTTCAGGAATGACCACAGACCAAAGAAAGAATTATTATAGGCTCTGTCTTGAAACTGAAAACCAAGGGACAGGTTTACAGCCTTGAATCAGGGCCAACAATACAATAATTTAGGATTCATTAAAGCCTAAATTTAAGAGAGTCCTGTACTGGCATGGTTGTTCAATGCCATTTAAAAGTGATTTGCGTGCATAGGTACTAAAGGAAAACCAGAAGACCAGCAGAGAACCCATGAACACGAGGAAATAATTGTCAAAGGCCTGCATATATAAACAGAACAATGTCCACACATAATACAATATTTTTTGTCCAGTGTTGGCCGTCCAAAGCAACAACACCGAGCAAAATTAGTTAAACAAGCAAATTCTGGACAAGTTTCAACCTTCGGGGTCTCATTAGTAGAATCAGGTTTGTTAAACACTGCTAGATTAAGACTAGCATTATCTAAATCATGGGGCCTCGTTCAATATAACGTGCGATTGAGAAGGTGTGCACATGTGTGGCGTGTGCACAGGGGAGTAGCTACCGGGTGGTGCAGGCAGTGCAACTGCACAGGGGTCCACAAGTCAAGAGGAGCATGGGGCCGGGGTTCAAAAAGAAGGGAAATTCGACAGGGCGCTCCCCCCTTTTCAGAATCAGAATACGTATTCCCTAGGCTACCGTGCGCGCACGTGTTTGTGAGGTGTAATCGCGTGCGTGGTCGCTTACAGGCGGGTGGCAGCCTCAGTGGACGTCTCGTCGCCCTCTATGCGGTAAACCTTGCCGTACATGACGTACTCAAACTGCTCTGCCCTGCGCACAGCAGAGAACGCATGCACAGTCAACATAGGTGTTCCGAGTACGAGTGTGCATGCCTGCAAGTGTATGTATGCACACGTACTTACATGTTTGTGCACATTAGACATGTAATAATTCAGATAAAATTAATTCTTACATTCAAGATTAAATATTTCGGGTAAGTATCCATCATTTAGGTATATCCACCACTGATATTAGTCGTGGTAAGGAATTTAACTCGAGAGGCTTTTGTATGTACTGTGTGCCTGCCCGTAAGTATACGCGTATGCAAATGCGCTGTACATGTGCGCACATAGGACATATACATGTGTGTGTACATATACATATCCAATGTGCGCACATGTGTACCTTGACGGCCGGTCGTCCGAGGGGTTGTACTCTCCGTCGTCTGGAGTTCCGTCTTCATACAAAGTGTTGGCCACCACCAAACGGAACTTGTCCGCTACACAGAGACAAGACGCCTCGTTCAAGTCTACAAGACGGTGGTTGCCTGCGCGTCTTGCGAACGAGGTGGTCATTAAAAACCCCCAGTCAGCGCACGCGAGGGGCAGGTGTGAAGGCCGTGGTTGCGAACTTACCCAAGTCGACGGGGTAGATTTGCGTGTTCACGTCCAGAATGAGATCCATCTTGAACGACTCGCTCTCACAGTGCAGCCTGGAAACTGCAGGCGCAGCAGAAGTCAAATCACAACGTGCACACGTACAATGTTCACGTGCATTCTTACATTTGTTAAGCCAGCAAAGCCTCACCGCATCTCAACTCTTTTTCAGGAGGGTTCCCTTCCTTGATTTTCCAGTACGGGGCCCACGCTTTCCGTTTCCAAATTAAGCACACGATGCCTGTTTTTGTACTTCATCTTGAGATTCGGTTGTATAGAGACGCTATACAAATCAAACATTTTTCATTCCATACACAGCTGAATGATTCCGTCCATATACCATGCTGGTCGTGGGGGTTGCTTGACCATACTCTTTGGGTTTTTCGGTAAAGTCACGTAGGTAAAAAAAATGAAAAAAACTAAATTAAATCACGACGTTTCGAAGGCAACACAAGCTTCCTTCATCAGGTGTAAAAAAAGGCACAGCAAAATAACTGTGTAGGATTTATTGTGCTTTTTTTTACACCTGATGAAGCTCGTGTTGCCTCCGAAACGTCGTGATTTAATTTAGTTGTTTTTTCATCTTTTTTACCTACGTGACTTTACCGAAAAAAAACAAAGTATGAATCCTTGCAGTCACGCAACCTTAAAAACTAGAATTACTTGACCCATACTTCACACCGAGTGCGGCGCGAGAATTAAAGCCGTTCAATAGATTTTCCTGCACTGCCCTCTACTGATAACGTGGGTAAGCAGAGGCTGGGCAGAGGGACAAAGATGGGACATAAGCACCGATCAACGTGTGTAACAACATTGGTTTCTTCGGTAAAGTGACGTATGTAGAAATAAAATAAAATTATATTTAAACAAAGAAACAATCACGACGTTTCGATCACAACGCAAGCGATCTTCATCAGGTGTCAAGAACAAATCATGGAGGTAAATACAACAAGATGAGAGACGAGAATTCAACAAACCTGAATTCTCTCATCTTCTTGTAGTAACCTCCGTGATTTGTTCTTGACACCTGATGAAGATCGCTTGCGTTGTGATCGAAACGTCGTGATTGTTTCTTTGTTTAAATATAATTTTATTGTATTTCTACATAGTGACTTTACCGAAAAAAAACGTAATTTTACGCAGTCACGAAAGCTTTAATACTTTATTATCAAACGTGTGTAACACATACGAGAGACTAGAACCCGACACGGACAACGAGACACAAAGAACTCCATTCACAAGAAGTCACAAAACGCCTCATCACGAACGACGTGACAGAAAATCGCCTGGGCTCGACCGTCCGCGCGAAACTTTTTAGGCCCCGACGAGAAACAAAATCATTGCAGCAGATGCCGATACAGCTGTTGACGATGCACACGCGGGAAATTAAAACTCTCCAGTACGTGGAGAATTGTGGTCATCCAAGGACAGACCGCAGAACGTGTACGCAACTCAACGCCGGATTCACCGATACGGAATCGGGCGTCCCCAAAGCGTTGACGACTCCGCTACTCGTGACGCAATTATCTTCCATCAAACCACCTCGATGTAAAACTACAGCTGCTGCTCGCCACCAACGATCCCCCACCCCGGCACGGCCTGTAACAGACTGTAGGAACAAGAGTAGGCTCCCCTACGTGGGCCGGCACGGCACACGAGAGGTGGTTGGGGTGGCCAAGCACCACGCCCGGCTGCCTCAAACAACACCAACATCAACCACACGATAACAGACAAGAGACACAGAAGCACACACAGAGAGAGAGACACACACGTTTGTATGAGCGCGTCTAACACGAACAAAGTCAACAACTCTCTCCAGAACTCAACCCAACACGCCGCGGCCTACTCTAGTCTAGCACCGACACGTGGTTGGCAATGGGATATGGGTGGGTGGGGGGGGACCTCGCCACACCACGCCGCCGCTACTCAACCCGACCTCGGCGGCGCGAACCACCCGCTGACGGCCCCGCGTGGGGAGACGCAAGGGAGACGCACCGCGGTCAAACTTCTTCCCCTCGGGGTCCATGTCTTTGACGTCGAAGATGTCTTCGAAGAGGATGCCCGCCATCTTCTCGCGCCTTCGCAGTGACGTCGGCCGGATCGGCGAAGGACCTAAGGAGATTTTATAATGAGCCGAATCGATTCCCTTCTACATCAAAGGGGAGGGTAAAAAAATCGATCGGTATCGATTATGACCAGCGATTGCTGTGTAGGGAGTGAAGCAGGCAATGGAATCGAATCGTTTGGAAGCGATTGCATTTCGCGATGCGATTAGTACGATTCGGGGTATAGGTTGCCACCCTATAGCAAAGAACAAAGTCGGATTGCTCGCTCCCTTGACCTGAGTGTATCAAAACCAGAATACAGTTCGCGTAATTCCAACACATCTCATTACAAATCGTCTTTTGGTACCCAAAACACATAACGATTCACATATTTCTCTGGTCAGACTTGGGGCAGGTGGTAACCCACGTGAGACACGCGATGGTTTATATGCAAGTTATCTTGCCAGTGGCATCTGGTGACCCAGCAGCATTGGTTGATAAAACCTGACTTCTGATGAGGCCCAGAATGTTGACACCGGTCCAGAGTTTGCTCACGTAAATGCCAATTCCCATTACTGGACTAACGCTTTAAACCACATTTGGGTTTATGTGGATTCTGGAATAAGGAGTGTTGTGCTATTATAAATTAGTTTTTACTTAGGATTCAGGTGGACTTTAGGGCACAATTTTGTGTTAACAATGGCCAATTGTGTATGTCTACTTACGTGGACAGACTAAGGCACGTTTGAATTAATATGGTATGTTGTGCCTGTGTGGCTCACAGAGTCAGACTAAGGCACAATGTGTATTCCTATGCCCAAAAACTCACCAACCTAGTCATTACCGCGGTTTTTGCAATTAGGAAAATATACTGTAGTGGGTTAAATTATGGTTTTATTTAGGACCAATTAAGCTGGCAAAAGTTTTTTTTAAATAATTTGTAGATTTCACTGTGCACCAAACGTTGGAGTTGACAAATGAACGGTTTTGAAATGTCATTAGACCTTTCCCAGTACCAAAATATAATAATAGGGTTTTCCCCTTTTTTCTGGCAACAAAACTGAAACCTTTTTTTACAAGGAATCATGCCTGCATTAACCACAAAACTTGTGGTCAAAATGCAAACTTCACTCCACTTCATAATAAACGTTTTTGGGTTAGATCGCCTTATTTATGAATGTGTCGGGACTGATTGGCCGTGTCGGGTGGTGGAGGGTTACGACACATTTATAAATAACGCGATCGAACCCAAAAACGTTTATTATGAATAATATTGGTCGCGAAAGCCAACGTGTTAAACTTCGCTCCACTTGAAAACGCAGTTTCATCACAGGGCAGCTGCCTGGATTCGAACACAGGACCTCAGCAACGCTGGCTCAGCACTCTGACCTCTGTATGCACGTTGAACTTCTTTTGCACCGTACGTAGCCAACCGTGCTAATGGGAGGTGCGGGGGTAGGCACAACAAACTCAACACAAAAAGCAGTTCTAAAGTGAGTTTAGGTAACATTGTACACGGGTGCTTATAGGCGTGTTCACACAAAGACAAAGATCACCCGTATAGCCTGAACAGACTGTTGGGGAAAGTGCTGTTAGCAAGCACTTATGAAGACGGGCACGGCACACGAGGGCGTGGGTGGCCAACACTACGCCCGACCGCCTTTGTCTCCCTCGTGGTGATTTTTACACACCACACCAAGTACCCATTTTGAGCCTGAGTTTACCTATGGGAGGCCCATGACCGGCTCAGATAATACCATGTAACACAATTTTTGTTCCTAGGTAGTGTTATTTCGTAAATGCTTATGCCTAAAAAGTATAGAAAATGGCTATTATTTGCCACAAACTTTGCTTTTGTGACCAGAACAGTGATATTTTGAAATTTACCTATTTTCAATGAGAAAACGGGCGAATTTGTGTCTTTTCGTTCACATAAAGTCAGAAAAAATCATATGAATCAAAATTAACATGTATTTATACTAGAGTAATGCAAAAATGACGACAAAAGATTTAGAAATTACTAGTTTTTCGAGATTTACGTTTATACTGTAAAGCGCTTCCACGAATCAGCCCCCAACTGTGGTTGAGTGAGTGGGTGGTTGAGTTGGCGAGTGAGTGGGGTGAGTGGGTAGACCGTGGGATGCTTGGTTTGGGTGAGTGGAGGAATGGTTGAGTTTGTGGGTGGTTGAGTGAGTGGGTGGTTGAGTTGGCGAGTGAGTGGGTGAGTGGGTAGACCGTGGGATGCTTGGTTTGGGTGAGTGGAGGAATGGTTGAGTTTGTGGGTGGTTGAGTGAGTGGGTGGTTGAGTTGGCGAGTGAGTGGGTGAGTGGGTAGACCGTGGGATGCTTGGTTTGGGTGAGTGGAGGAATGGTTGAGTTTGTGGGTGGTTGAGTGGGTGGGAGATCTGTGCTGAGACACTGGCACATGGCTCGCCCGCGCCTCGAGATCCCAGCGAGAGACGTCGGCCCCCACACCCCAACGGAGTAACGAGGGCACAAAGTTGGGAGCCACCAGGACTAAAGCAGGAAGTTAATTTTCCCCATTTACATTCCTTTAATAATTATCAAATAAAGCAAGTCAAGATCTATAAGTATCTTGGGGTCATCCTGGATTGAAAACTGAATTTTGAAGATCACATTGATTATATTGGTAAAAATACAAAAATAAAAATTTTGTATCGACACAAGCACTGCTTCCTCCCAATGTTCCGTTTGGAATTGATAAAAGCTACCATACTGCCTCTCCTTGACTACTGTGACATCGTGTATAAATCAGCCCCAAGTACTGTACTGAAGAAGCTTGATTCCATCTATCACTCGGCCTTAAGATTTACATTGAACTGCCCATATAGGACTCACCACTATGATCTCTACATTGGGTCAAACTTAACATCTCTTAATGTTCGACGGCTTGTGCACCAGATCTTATTTATTCACGATGTACTTACAAAAGAATCCGCAGACTACTTGCTGGATCTCCTCTCTGTTTCAAAGAACAAATTTGACCTCAGTTCTTCGCTTATTTACCAGCTTCACACTCCGTATTGCCGTACAAAAACTGGAGTAAGGGCCTTTGCTATTGATGCCCACAGGGTCTGGAATGCTATTGCCAATAAACTGCAACTTGAATCGCTACCAATGAGATATTCTCTCAAAACTGCTCTAGAGGAGTTGTACACCCCTATATGCCACTGCTATTCATTGGCGTAAAATAAAATAAAATGTTTTCGCTCCGGATGACACAGCAAAGTATTATCTGTATTTTGATTTAGCGTGCTGATCTTAAAGGTGCATTGAAAATTTTGATACTCCGACTGATGCTTCTGTTGTTGTGGAGTAACTCATGCAGCCAGCTATGGCTCTAGGATTTGGTGTTACATGTTATTTATGTAGTTTATTGTAAAAATCCGGTCACAGTCCCTATGATCACTGTTACGTTGCAATTCAAGCTTTATTTTTTGGTGATTTCGAAAACGTTTTTTGGTTTGGACATGTTTGTTTTGTTGCAGTACGGAGTTAGACTGATGGCCTTAATCTAAGTTTTCTTGTGGTTGTTGTTTGACTTGCATCCCACTGGGATTTTTTGCACACAGCGTTGGTGTACGGTGCTTTTTTCAGGAATATTTTGCTGGTTTTTTTCATGGATTTTCTGTTTGCACAGTCACATAGTCACATAGTCACTTTAAGATGTTTTTATTGTTCGTGTTTTTGTTTTTTTGTTTGTTGTGGTTGCGCCCGATTCAAGAGCCGAATGGCTCACAGGGCTATACCAAAATAAATAAACTGAAATGTTCTCATTATACTATCCTTGGTAGCGGCGTTCAAAGTCCAGTATATACTGGTGGAAGCGCTCGCCTTGCTCCGCCGAGTACGCTCCCATGTTCTCCTTGAATTTATCAAGATGAGCATCAAGGATATGGACTTTGAGGGGCATCCTACAGACCATTGTGCCGTAGTTCTTCACCAGTCTCAATCAGCTTCACATAGTTTTAAACCTTGTGATTGCCCAGGAAGCCACGAACCACTGCAACAAAGCTGTTCCAAGCCACTTTCTCCTTACTAGTGAACGTCTTAGGGAATTCATTGCACTCCAGGATCTTCTTTATCTGTAGTCCGATGAAGATACCGGCTTTCACCTTTGCCTCAGCTTAGGGAAGAATTATTGAAGGTACTTGAAGGCTGCCAACTCCTTATCTACAGCTCTAACAAATTGTTTCATAAGGCCCAATTTGATGTGCAGTGATGGCATCAGCACCTTCCGGGGGTCCACCAGTGGCTCCCACTTGACGTTGTTCCTCCCCACAGAGAACTCGGTCCGCTGTGGCCTGTCCCAACTGTGGTAGTGCGCCTTGGTGTCTGTGCTGTTTCAAAGGCAATGATAGCAGGGTAACTTGGTAAAACCGCCTGAGACCCATCAGGAATGCCACCATTTTGAAGTCTCCGATGACCTCCCAGCCGTACTCATCATACTTCAAGGCGTCCAGCAATGTCTTGATGCTGTTGTAATCCTCTTTGAGGTGCATCGAGTGAGCCAGGGGAAGAGACGGGTACTTGTTACCATTATGGAGCAGCACGGCTTTGAGGCTCCTGGATGATCTGTCAATGAAGAGGCGCCACTCATTCTGGTTACAGGTAATTCTGATTGCCTCGAACAGACTGGTCACATTGTGGCAGAAGCAGAGCCCAAAGTAGCTGCAAAAATATTGGTGACACTTCCTCTAATCTGCGACTTGCACACTTTCATCCAACAAGTTCCAATGCTTGAGCCTAGACATCAAAAGCTCAGCATTGGACTTGGCGAGACCAAGATCTCTGATCAAGTCGTTGAGGTCTTTTTGGTTGGGGTAGTATGGGTTTGTCTCCTCAGCTCCACCTCCCAAATTGTCATCTGGATCTACAACATCTTCCTCGCTCTCTGACTTGCTGCTCTCTTTTAAAGACGGCTGCTCTCTCTGGAGGAGTGGGTACGGGGAGCTCATGGCAGTGTGACACCGCGGCGATGGATGAAGGAAGGTCCGGATACGTGATAGCAGGTGCATTCTTGCCAGTCCGACGTTTGGAAGGGTCCACCATGCAGAAGTAGCAGTTGCTTGAGTGGTCAATGTATTCCTTCAAAATATTTGGGATAGCCAACTTCATGGCTCTCTTTTCCCCTCTTTACCATCCTAAAAAAATACATTTATTTCACCCATGACTAATGTGCAAAATATTCTCGCATCATTTTTCATATACCATATATTTTTCAATAAGATTGAAAATCGTAAAACATTTGAAAATGAAAAACTGTCACAATTTAAAATATTTTACCAAATTTTATAACATAAAATTCCGAGCAACAATTGTCTATCTTACTTTGCAGAGTTTTCTTGCATTGCTCGCAAGTGAAATGAGGTGCCCAGGGATTGTCCTGATCCCTAACAGCATTGCCGAAATATGCCTTGTCGGCCTCACACATCTTAGCAGATGCTTCCACAGAGTAATTTTCGCTCGACTTGATAAATTGGCCGCAGACATAAAAAATGCGTCTGCTGGATGCTTGTAGCCTCTTGATGCCATCTCAGAAAAAGGCAGATATGTATCCACTTCGGCAGCTGGAACTAAACTGAACTGGTGGGCTTAAGGCCCCTGTATTTATACTATACACTGAATCTATCTGGAATGTTCTGGAAAATAGGTACATTTCAAAATATCACCGTCCTGTTCACAAAAGCAAAGTTTGTGGGGAATAATAGCCATTTTTTTGTACTTTTGAGGCATAAGCAATTAGGAAGTAACACTTACTACCCAGGAACAAACAAAAATTGTTACACAGTGTAATCGTCACTGGTGTTGGCCCTGAGTGGGATTCAAACACAAAAGGAATGCACAGAACACCTTTGGGCCACCTGGACACCGCTAGTAAACAAACTTTATTTCCCTCTCCAATGTAATCCTAATTGCTTTTTTAGGTTTTCAGCAATTTCCATGTAGGGTGTTAATAGCACCTTTTTCCAACGTTTGGTGAAAGATTGCGATCGAGGCGACTCCAGAAGTGGTTGCGTCACCTTCCACGGGGGGGGGGGGGGGGGGGGGGGGTGGGGGGGCACGGCCCAGCGGTAGCACGATGTCTCTTGTTTCAGAAGACCGCGGTTCGATTCCAGCAGGCCACCCCAGTTATTATTGCAGGGGCCACAACCATAACTTGCGCACCACCGTCCGATTTTGCAGTGGACGTGAAAGGATTCCACCGATGTCGTTCGACATGAGTATACCACCGCGTTCTGGCATTGTGGAAAAGTAACGTGCAACATTACCCGATTGGAATTACACAGATACATCATCCCCCGCTCCATGCCTCCCGACTGGCAGACTGATGCCCGCTTGCAGGCCAGTTGCTGAACCGTGGGAACAGCTGCCACTGGGGAGGGGAGGGGGGTGTGACTTTTCCAATGTGTTGAGATTTGTGATGCAAGTCGCTTATCATAAGGGGGATTTGAGACGCCCTGGTGTCAAGGGTGTTCATCTAAAAACAAACCGTTGTTATGAGGTGCAGGATGATTCTTCATTCATAGAAGCATTTTTTTGTTTTAATATACATAAACGGGAATTCAACGCAAAAGAATACACGTTACAAAAAATCACGCAAATTCATTATTGATTTGCTGCAAGTACTTCTTTACTTTAAATAAACCACGAGCACTTTACAAGAACAACACACATCCCACACAACACCAGTCTTTGCCTACAAGAAGGGGGAACATGCGAGTGGCGCATACGAGCCTACATTGTGAACAGCGGCGTAGCTCGCGAGTGTGCAGGCGGTGCAATTGCACCGAGGCATATGGGGCCAGAGGTCCAGGAGCCGGGATACCAAGAGGGCCGTGAAGTGGAGGGGGGGGATAATTGTATAGGGACGGCCCAATTTTATTGCTTGCACCAGGGCCCATGCCGTCCACGCTACGCCACCGATTGTGAGCACAGGGTGTGCAAATGTACGCATTGTATTCGATATGAAATGGAATTGAATGTGTTAACCCATTGAGCAGTGTCAACATTGTGTGCGCGCGTGTCTTTGTATGGGCACTATTAATCGGACAATGACTTATGACTACAGTGGAGGTATTTGTGTATGTACACAAACAAGTGGGTATACACATGATGCTCCCAATAACAGTCATGTTAACATGTGAAGTCTATGTGCAGCTATGCGTGTAGAATAATCTATACATTGTGCCCGATTTAATTTAGCACACGTGTGCATGTGCTATGCGTGTGTGTGCACGGCTGTATGTAATTATAAACGTGCGGGTATATATGTCGGCATGTATGCGCTGTAATGTATATGTGTATGACGATTAAACAAACATATGCATGATTTCTATTCGCTAAGTAGATAAATAATGCGATAATATATACTGTGCACGTTATGTGCTTCATTACGTTTCCGTGAATCTCAGATGCGCCGTGAATGCGTAGTGAAGTGTAAGCATATAGATGAGTGAAATGGTTTGTGCACTAGATTTGAATGTATGTGTTTACGACACTTTCTGAGTAACAATGTGAACGTGTGTGTGGGTGCGCTGCACTTCATATCTCTGGGGGGCGGGAGTGTAGCGGTCAGCGCGCTGCGCTACGAACCCGGCGACCCGAGTTCGATTTCCGCTCACGGCCAACATCAGTGACGATTATCTGAACCGGTCCTGGGCCTGCCCTAGGTAGACCCAGTCTCAATTGAGTACCTGGTGCGGTGTGTAAACATCGCCACTGGGGAGACAAAGGCGGCCGGGCGTGGTGTTGGCCACCCACCCCCTAGTGTGCCGTGCCGGCCCTCGTAGGCGCTTGCTCACTAACAGCACTTGCCCCAACACAATTTGTTAAGACTATACTGGGGGGGGGGGCGATATTTGTCTTTGTACTGCATACCACATGCATACAGCCACATTACCTTGTACGCATTAGATGTTGGAAGCTAAGCAGAGCTGAGCATGGCGAGTGCTTGCATGAACAAATGATTTGGCGATGCTGTTGCTGGCAGTGGTGTACAAGCACAGGTAACACAATGTAGAGACTCAACACACATTGGACAATGACACTACCTTCAAGCAAACACATAATGGGGCAACCTTGCGAGCAATGGGCCCTTCACTTAAGTACTATGAAGGGCCATTGCCTGAAACGTCACCTCTTATACTTTTTCCTATTATGGCCGCAGTGTTATTGCCAATTGTGTCGAGTGATTTTTGTTTGTTATTTAAGCTCCATTATGTGGTTTATCATTTGCCCTCGAAAAAAAACGTTTATACTAAAGACCACCAAGTGCCGTTTCGTGTTCTGTCATGTTTAATGTTTTATATATATTTCTATGTTTAATATTCCATAATTTTAAATTCCAAAAGCATCTTCGTTACGTTTGCTTAAAGACCATGAATGATGATTGATTCTCCTACAACCGCAAATGCTGCAGCTCAGTCCAATATACCGTTGTGTATATACAGTTTATTAACACACACTGTCTTTTTAATTGTTTTTAAGTAATATTTATTTTTTATCCCGTTTGCACTAAGTTCTGGTGTGGGTTTCATGTAAACAATTGTTGTTTTTGCTCTTGCCAGCTTGCACATTCCCACCCTGCGATGATGTCCCGTGACCCTGCCGTCGGTCTTGGGCTGTGGGCTACGCATCTCTGATGTAACTCTGCAGAGCTCTATGTAAATGTATAGCCCCCTAAGGAATTCTATGGATCCCTTTGTAACTGCGATGTCCTGTGACCGTCGCCACGGACTTGAGCTGCGGTCGTCCCTTGTAGCAGAGCTTTGTAGCTCAACGGGCCTTAGCATGACTGATCTTGTTTAGAGCTTTCATGGATGGCAGTCAAGGGGCTTGCCAGGTGTTGTAGGCGTTGGTGCTCCGAGGTGGCCAGGAGATGGCAGCGCTGAGTGGTACCCCTTCGAATGTATGGCGGGTTTTCTCCGGATTCCTCCCACATTGAGCCCAACACTCAGACACGCAAATGGTCAAACGGCCCCATGCAGGGCCCTCCTCGTATAGATAGAGACGGTCTTGACAGCCAGTGTTATTTTAACAACGCACAAGAGGGTCAGTGAAAGCCTACGTGTGCGTGCGTGTGTGTGTGTTCTGGGTGACAGGCATGCTATACACAAGTTAACGAGTGTGCATATTGTGTGTCACGTGCACAGCATGTGAGAATGTGGTTGTGCACATGTGCCTGTAGTGTGTTTGGACGGTTGTGTTTTTGTGCAGGTATGAGTGAGTGCTGAATATGCGTGATGTGTTTTAATTGCGTGCGTGTTTTTGTGCCAGTGTCATGCGCAGCAGTGAGATGGACTGTGGCGTCATGCAACTGGTGAGGGATGGCGGTGACCGGGGGAGGGCTTCATCGAGCAGTGGATAGAACCTGGCTGGGGATGATATGGTTCATGTGTGTGTGTGTGTGTGCAAGATGTGTGTGTGTGTATACGTATGTGTGTATTGCTGGGCTCATTTTTGTATATGTACGTTTGTATATGTATATCATATGTGCATGTGTGTACATATCTATGTACATATATGCTGCATGTGTAAATGTATGCGTATATCATAGCACGTAGGTTTATTGCAGCCAATATTTATTAATCGTAACAGATTTCTGGGTTAAGCCACAATAATGATGCAGCCAAATTTGTGTCGTGACTCTACACCGCCCAACACAGCCAGACAAACAAAACAGTCACAAACATTATATAATTGGCGTGCCAAACGCTTGTGCATGTGACAATTTAATTTGTTTGGCTATGTTGGGTGATGGAGGGTCTCACGACACGAACATGGTCAAGAGCGTCACGCGGCTTAACCCCAAAATCAATAACGTATATGTAAGTATACATTTGGTGTATGCACGTCTGTGTCTTTGTGCGTACGTGTGTTGTACAAGTCTCTGTCCAGGTGGATGTGTTGCACGAGTCTATATCCACGTGTGCCTGTGTGTACGTTCTACGAGTCTCTGTCCACGTGTGCCTGTGTCCACGTGTGCGTGCGTGCGCGCGTGGCCGCGAGCTGGATCCCGCGAGAGCCACGTGCGTCTCCGTGCCGGACCACATCTGCGCCCGTCAGTTCCACACCTTGAGGAAGCTGTCCCAGGATCCCGTGGCCACGGCCATGCCGTCATCCGTGACGCCGAGGCATGACACGCGGTTATCGTGGCCCGCAAGCACGCCTGCGCACAAAGACAAAGCTACAAAGATCGCCCTCGCAGCCTCAGCAGAACTGTTGGGGCAAGTGATGTTAGAGAGCACCAATGGAGGCTGGCACGGCTCACGATGGGGGGTGGGTGGCCAGCACCAAGCCCGGCCGCCTTTGTTTGCCCAGTGGCGATGATTTTAGACATCGCACAAAAGGTACTCATTTGAGGCTGAGTTGACTTAGCGGAGGCCCAGGACCGGCTCAGATAATCGTCACTGGTGTTGGTGGCCGCGAGTGGAACTCGAACTCGGGTCGGCGGGTTCTGAGCGCAGCTCGCTAGCCATTGCTCCACAAGCACAAAAGGCAAAGATCCCCTCTATAATGATCCCTCTATAATGCTCACACACAGGTGTGTGCGCGCTCACACACACGCACACACACGTGTGCACGCTCACACACACACGTGTGCACGCTCACACACAAACGTGTGCACCCTCACACACACGCGTGCACGCTCACACACACACACGCGTGTGCACGCTCACACACACACGCGTGCACGCTCACACGCACGCGTTCACATGCACACGCGCGTGCGAGCGCCCTCGCACACGCACGCACTCGCACCCGCACAACCATGCACGCACCGGCTTTCTCCTGCTTCATGCCGTCCCAGATGTTGCAGTTGAAGTCATCGTATCCGGCGAGCACGAGGCGACCGGAGCGCGAGAAGGCGATGCTCGTGACGCCGCACACCACGCCGTCGTTGGCGTAGACGCAGAGCTCCTGGTCGGCGCGGATGTCAAAGAGGCGGCACGTGGCATCGTCGGAGCCCGTCACAAACGCCTGCCCATTTGGGAAGAACTGAGCGCGGAGACCACCGGGGGGAGGGGAGGGAGGGAGGGTTAGAGATGGGAAAACAGAATCAGAATCTTATTCATACTGGAGGCATACGATGAGCTGTAAAGAGATTTTTCACGGATGTCCAGAGAGTGAGAGGAATAGGGAGAGAGGTAGAGAGAGAGAGAGAGAGTGCGCGCGTGTTGGGAGTAGTGGCGTCACGGTTAGCGCACTGCACTACCAGCCTGGCGACCCGAGTTCAAATCCCGCTCACGGACAACACCAGTGATGATTATCTGAACCGATCGTGGGTCTCCACTAAGTCAACTCAGCCTCAAATGAGTACGTGGTGAGGTGTGTAAATATTGCCACGAGGGAGACAAAGGCGGTTCGGCGTGATGCTCGCCGTCCACCCCCTCGGGTGCCGTGCCGGCCATCATAGGTGGCTCGCTAACAGCACTTGCCCCAACAGTCTGTTAAGGCTACACGAGGGATCTTTGTCTTTGGAGAAGAGAGAGAGGGCGACATGGATGGAAAGATGGTGAAAAGAATACGGAGTAAATATACAGTAAAACCTTGGATTGCGAGCATAATTCGTTCCGGAAACGTGTTTGTAATCCAAAGCACTCGTCTATCAAAGCACTCGTATATCAGTTGTGATCACGTGACGCTCAGCAGACAAAGCGTATACGTACTACTACTCGTATTGCAAGACCCTCTCTCGTTTATCACATTAATATTCATTTTAACAATTTTGCTCGTCTTGCAAAACACTCGCAGACCAAGTTACTCGCAATCCAAGGTTTTACTGTATAGAGAGAGTGGAGTTGAAAGTGGGAGAGTGAGTGAGTGGGGAAGAGGGAGATACGCTTGGAGATAGGGAGAGATAACGTTTGAGCCAGATAGAGGTCAGAGAGATGATATCATTGCTCGGACAATGTAGATTGAATAAAATAATTTTAAGTCCATGAATTTACAATGGGATTCGTTGGGAATACGTGCACCTTTCATTCGCATGGGAATTCGGGAATGATTCGACTGCGGTGTTGGGTTAAGAACAGGTGTATGTGTGCATACACATGGACAGGGGTTTGTGTCACAATCTACTCTCCTGAACATTAAGCATTTAAGCCGTATTTTTGCAAAATCCTTTGGTCTCTAACATATGTTTCCCACGTAATCAGACCTTAAACTACCCCTAGCTGATATGCACACCCCAAACATGTGCTTCGAACACACCCCTCGAAAAAATGCATATGCACCAAAGACACACACACACGTCCTGAACACATAAATGCAATCCAAGCACACACACACACAGTGAAAACACAGCACACGTACCACACATATGTAATGTAGCTCTCAGAGACACCGTCTTGTTCAGTTATATATTTCTTTATTGTGAATAAAGTCCGCCGACTCACTGATAATTTAACGGGTAACCGCGATTGGACTATATACAGCTGGGTAACTTCTGTGACTTACGCAACGCTCCCCATGTAGTTGGCTGACTGCACAGGAGCGGACGCGTAGTAGTCACGGAGACAATATGTAACTCTAGCCTTCCAAGACCACAAGGTGCCCCATCCAAGATGATGAAGACGACCCACTCCAAGACGACGACGACTCTCCCTTGGTTCCCACCACAGCAACAGCCCAGAGCCCTGTTCCACGCCGGCTTTTATCCACACCTCGACTCGGCCACGCCCCTTTTCCCGAACTCTCTCTCTCTCACCTCATCTGGGCCTGTCTGTCCCTTTCTCAATGATTATTTACGACCACTTAGGTCACGTGCTTATCCTTACGCGACCCCGTCGCGTCAATTAGTAACCACGGCCACGAGGAGCCGTACTTTCCTTACCCATATACGCACACCCCATGCATACATTAACATATGTCTTGAACACATGAACGCACTCTGAACACGAACTCCAAACACACAAACATCTCTGAATACGCACAAACATACACGTACCAAACACACACACATACAATACACACACACACCGTGAAACCACCTCCGATAATTATCACGGTTGGCTACGTACGGTGCAAAAGAAGTTCAACATACATTCATACACACAAGCACCAACACATGCGCGTACCAATACACATGCGCTCCAACACACACAAGCACACCTTGACCACAAAGATAAAGATCCCCCGTATAGACTTAACAGACTGTTGGGTCAAGTGCTGTCAGCGAGCACCTATGAAGGCCAAAACGGTACACGAGTGGGTGGTCAGCACCACACCCGACCGCCTTTGTCTCCCCAGTGGCGATGTTTACACACTGCATTCATTTGAGGCTGTGTCAACCTACGGGAGACCCAGGACCGGTTCAGATAATTGTCGCTGGTGTTGGCCGTGAGCGGGAATCGAACCCAGGTCCCTAGGTTTGTAATGCAGCGCCCTAACTGCTACACCACCGCTCCCCACCGTGACCATATACACACACACGCACACATTTTGTGTGAGCCCCCACATCAGACAGTGTCTCTGCCGCCCACTATTTGCTGTGTCCTAGAGCCTTTTTACTAATCCGGAGGGGTGATGGTCAATATGATGGTAGATGATGATGACACAAAACTCACAATAATGTAATATGCCAAACATCGCAATGTAAGACCCTGCAGACTTAGTGAGACTTTACTTGATAAATAAACAATGGTGCCCTATTCATGGCAATACGAATGAGATAAGGAGGGGTGATTGATGGTGATAATTATGAGTGGGATCATTATTATGATGGTAACGATGGTTAGGACGGTAATGATTGTAAGGGTCTTGGTCTTCACGGTTGTTATGATGGTGGTGATAATGATAACGATGAATCCACTGCTGGATGAGGGCCTCCTCACGCCGTGCAGGTCATGGGGGTTATTTGACCATGTGTACTTCGCAAACCGCTGGTCAGTGCGGATTGGTGAATGCGACGAACTATCATGCATTGGAAGTATCGGACACACAATGGACAGTTACGGCATTGCCCTCTGCTGCCCACTGTGTAGCTCTGCAAGCACTCTGATGGGTCAGCTTAGCACTGGTGATCAATAATCCCAGCACTATCCAAGATTGAAAGCTAATTTCTTTGAAGCTGCTTTTTGCTGACCTTCCTCCGCACTTCCGATTTGCACGGTTGGCTACATACGGTGCGAAAGAAGTTCAACATACATACATACAGACACAACCCTGCTGAGCTTCCGAGATCCGACAAGAACGGGCGCGTTCTTAGTGATCTGGTCAAGGTTACTCAAGCTTAAGAGGCCTCCATGGCCACAGCCGTAGCCGCCACCGCACCTTGCCAACACTTTTCCCAACCTCTCCGCCAGATCCCCACATGCTGCTGCAGCACAGGAGACACGGGGACTCCAAGATCAGCTCAAACAGTCTCCCACCATCTCGTCTTAGGTCTGCTTCAGAGTGTTTGTTTGTTTGTTGCCGGATTCGTGGACAGCACTCCAATGCCGGTCTTGGGAACCGACCCCCCTCCTCCTCCTCCTCCTCCTCCATCCTCCACACACGTCCTACGCAGCGGGACCTTTTCCGCATCATACCTCCAACCACTTACCTATAAACTATTAAACTAGTTTTTTATTTTACCAGGTAACACAACCACCGAGCTATGTAGCTCTATTTCAGAAGCGACCTGGCCACAAGCGATAGTCCAATTAAGTGCCTTACCCTTGTGGAAACTTCTACCGGCCAAATACTATAAATGCACGCTGCTGGTTCTAAATGTGGAGGAAAAAACTGGAGGACCCTGGGAAATATCCACGCGATCACGGGGTAGACGTGCAAACTCCAAATGTACAGGGGTCATGGAGTCAAGATCGAACCCAGGACCTCCTGTACACTAGGTGAAGAAGTTAACATCTCGCCACCACGATCAATTCCGGAATTGCAACATTGTTTATCCCATCTTGCCGCAAAAATTCCTATCATCCGTCTCGGACACCTGTGTTTGCTTAGTTATGGCCCTGATCCACACAGGAATACAAATAAGCACTGCTGCCTCAAACACTATTTTCTTATCTCTCTCCTCTTCCAAAGTGGTTTCGCTAGCCAATCAAAAACATGCCCTGCTAAAGCAACGCTGCTCTTCTTGACCTCCCTTTCTCACAGCCCACTGCATCACGGCCATCGCTGCCCAGGCACACAGAGTCCTCTGCCACCTCCGCGTTCTCTCCTCCGACCGTCCACTTGCGATGCGATTACGGGAGCCCCGTTTCATAACGCTGCCATTTGCTTTGTCTTTAGAGAAGCATTATATTCTTGAAACTTGTTCACTCAGGAAAGCTGCAACGGGTCTCGAGACTCTTTTTTATGGAGGGTTCTGCCGACTTTTCACACTTGGCGGGGGGGGGGGGGGGGGGGTGGGAGGGACGTTGCTCATGTAATCCCGATAGAGTAATTTGCGGGTGATTATTCGAGCACTGGGATGTTTGGCTAGTAGCAGTTGCATTGTATGTGTTTTGTCAGCTTAAATTAAGAATGCAATAGCCAGCCTTTTGATGATTAATTACTGATGATAATCACGTGTCCTCTCATCTGGTTACGAGTCAGACCACACCAAAGACAAAGAATCCCCGTGTAGCCTTTAACAGACTGTCGGGGCAAGGACTGTGAGAAACAATTATGAAGGCCGGCATGGCACACGAGGTGGTAGGTAGTCAACACCATGCCCGGCTGTCTTTGTCTCCCCAGTGCAGATGTTTACAAACCACACCAGGTACTCATTTCAGGCTGAGTCGACCTAGAAAAGGGCCCAGGCTCAGTTCAAATATTCGCCTGGCATGTAACACAATGCGCTAACCAATGCACCACGACAGCCACCGCCACCATGGTTACTACCGCCACCACCGCCACACCTGCCACTGCCACCAGGGTCATTAGCACTGCCACCACTGCCACCACTACCACCATGGCCACCACTACCATGGCCCTTACCGCCACGGCCACCGTCACCAAGGCCACTCCCGCCACTATGGCCACTACCGCCACCACAGCCACCACTGCCACCATGGCCACCACGGCCCCCACGGCCACCACAGCCACTCCCGCCACTCCGGCCATTCCCGCCACTACGGCTACTACCGCCATCAGGACCACTGCCACCATCGCCGCTATCTCCACTATGGCCACTACCGCCATCAGGACCACTACGGCCACTACCGCCATCAGGACCACTGCCACCATCGCCGCTATCTCCACTACGGCCACTACCGCCATCATGACCACTGCCACCATCGCCGCTATCTCCACTACGGCCACTACCGCCATCAGGACCACTGCCACCACCGCCGCTATCTCCACTACGGCCACGACCGCCATCAGGACCACTGCCACCATCGCCGCTATCTCCACTCCCGCCATTACCGCCATCAGGACCACTGCCACCATCGCCGCTATCTCCACTACGGCCATGCATTTTATAGTCACAAGAAGCTGCCGGGTCTCCGTTGGCTGCAAGCGCGTTAATGGGGCAGCGCACGCGGTGGCGCCACTCACGTTGATGGCGTTGATGTCGGACTCGTGCCCCGTGAACGTCTGCCGGCACTTGACCTCGCGCACGTCCCACAGCTTGGCGGACGAGTCGCACGCGCCCGACACGAACATGCGCCCGTCCGGGGACATCGACAGCGACATGACGTCGCCCGTGTGGCCCATGAATGTGGAGGACAGGCGGCCCGTCTCGATGTCCCACAGGCAGCTGCGTGGGGAGCGGGGGAGGGGAAGGGGACACAGTGGGGTAACAGTGAAACACTGGTGAGACCCGTGAAAGCCACCGTATGCCCAGGCTGCTTTTGTTCATCCGGATAGAGGGTACTAAATGGGCACGGCAAAGGCTAAAAGAAGAGATGGAGCTGATGTGGTGTGAGAGGATCTAAGTGGACTTGCCGATGACCAGTACCAGTGGTGTCAAGATCAGCCTCTGTGGAGGAGGCCCATGAAAGACGCTACTGGGTAGTTTGAGGCAGTCACCCTCCAACAATAGCAGAGGGCAGATGAGCAACCCTTAGGTTCATCTACACCAAATGCTTTAGCAGACAATATATCACCTTAATATATCTGTCACTACACATTAAATAAACATACTTTTTTAGTGGTGGAACAGATATTACGAAGATGAATTGCCGCCAATAACTTTTGTTTTAATATTCTCCACAATGGCGCTAAATTATTATTTCGTGGCATCTACACGGCGTAATGTTGTTGTTGCGTCGTACGATTTTGTTGCATCGCTGTGCTTGATAAACTGTTGCCGTGCTGTTGCACCATTATTGAAGTTGCTGTGGTGTCGTAGCATTTCATTTGTTGCGGTATTCACGCTTTCCAAGTCAGCTTGAGAGTGGTTATACATTAACAAAGGTGGGGGTGGGAGGCACGAATGGAGACGATCAAATATGAAGCAACCTGCGCAGGACATAAAGATACGTGGAGTCTTGGGTACTTGCCAGATGGACAAAAAATCAGCCAAATTGAGGGTTGTCCAAAAATCTGGACACGAACTGCTGCCACAAAATGGGCTAATGAAAAGCTCGTTGAAGAACAGACTCATGTTGGAAAGCGTTACATAATCCAGGGCCGTATGAACGGCTCTTCTGAAATTATGTCGTTGTCGCTGTTTGCTGTAAAAAAAAGAGTTCTCTGTTGTTTGTGCTGTATTGTAACGTATTGTGTATTGTTGTGTTATTGTTGCTCGTAGTAACCATAAGGTGTCTCCGGAGCTGGTGAGGATTTTGGTGTCGTCGAGGAAGCGGCAGCAGGAGAGATACCCTGAGGGCAAAACGCGGAGACGCAACGCAAACAACGGGTTTGAAAAAAACACCAGCAGGTTAACCTTTCGCCTATCCATGAGCAGCTGCTTTTTGTGTTTAGTTTATTGTCCTTCCCCCACACCTCCGATGCGCACGGTTGGCTACGTACGGTGCAAAATAAGTTTCAGCGTACATACGTAGAGCATATGTACTGTATGTGCATCAATATGTAAGAGTTACCACATTTCTGGGAGGCTCAGCCATGACACATGCCAAGTTGATAGGTCCTCCCTCTTCCAAACAGCACCACCTACTTTTCTATAGCCACGCCCACTAAACCACTAGCCCCACCCACAACTCACGTTGTCACGCCCACTGCTCAGGTAGCCCCCACCCTGTTACCTACATTCCGAGTCGAGCACAAGGCCAGTAAATGTAGCCGTCTGTGGCACACGAATCACAAGCCATGGATTTTAGGCGATTTGATTGGCCTTCACGACTTCAATGGGGAACACATTTTCTACCTTGTTTTTACCATCTCTCAGTGGCATTTATCATTTGTTCTGTGTCATTTGTGCAGTTTTGTTCGCTCCAGCAGTCCAACGTTTTCAAACAACTTATGGTTTGAAATGTATGGTTTTCCGGCCTGCACTCGCTTTATTTTACAAATCCGTTTTCTCGTCATTTACAGGTTTGAGCATTAACATATAAATCACATGTCATTTGCAGACATTATATAGAGGCAATGGGCGTAGACATTGGACAATAGTACAGCACAACACTTGATTTTACCTCCATTGCTCTCTGCAACGTGGCCCCACAACAGACCACAGCACCAATTTTAAATGTGACGCTCGCCCATTCAATCCCCACCTCCTGCAACGTGGCCGGTCTTAGTAGGTGCTCACTAACAGCACTTGCCCCAACAGCCTTTGTAGGCAATGCGGGGCAATCTTTGTCTTTATCTGCGCCTCAGCCAGTCACCTCAGACAGTTAACCCATAACATCTGGGTCTGTCCCGTGACCTCCTGCCAGAAGCAATCCTTCGACACTTCACATGGTCTCAAAGTGCACCTGGCCTGGCACTAGCACTGTAGTGTTGTTGCCACCACTTAGTGGCGAATGGCGGCTGCTGTTGTTGCTGTTGTGTGCGTGCGTACCATTGTGTCCGGGAAGCTCACGCGTGACCTTTATATTTCCCTCACGCGACTTGAGACTGAGGGTCACAAAACCACAGACAAGTGTGTGAACAAAGACAAAGATCCCCCGTGTAGCCTACACAGGCTGTTGACACAAGTGCTGCTAACGAGTAACACCTATGAAGGGCACCACGGCATACGAGGGGGTGGTGTGGCCAGTGCCTCGCCTGGCCAGATCTGTTTCCCCATTGCTGGTGTTTACACACTGTACCAGGTATTCACATCAAGCCGAGTCGACCTAGTGTATGCCCAGGACTAGTTCAGATAATCGTCACCGATGTGGGCCGGGAACAGTAATCGAAACTCTGTTCGCAGGGTTCATAGTGCAGTGGCCTAACCACTGTGCCACCGCTCCCCAAGCGTGTGAATACACAACGCATGCAACACATACGCAAATGCAGCCATTGTGCAATGAATATCATCATCAGCCTGATTTGTCGTCATCAATACACCATCTACTTTTATCTTCACACAATTAATAACTTGTCACTCGCGAGATGTTAACTACCTCGCCTGATATACAGGAGGTCGTGGGTTAGATCCCAATCCTGACGCCTGCTGTACAGTTGGAGTTTGCATGTTCTACCTGTGGTTGCGTGGATTTTTTTTCTGGGTACCTCCGGTTTTCCCCTCCACATTTATAAAAAAATACATTTGGAGTATTTGGCTGCTATAAATTTCCACGTTGGCCTTATATGGCCAAATTTAAATAATTTAATTTAGTTTGAACACCAGGTGAGTGGTTGAGAGAACCAGGAATCATAACCCTGCATTTGAATGTGGATATAAATGTATTAACCCACACCTTCATTAAACTCTCAAGATAAAGGTACAGCCCTTGAAAATTACTGTTCACTGCATTGCCGGCAGAAGGGCCTAAATTAGAGAGAGCTCTCATCTCGAGGGTATGTGGTCCAGTCTTCCACGCTGGTCAGACATCTCAAAAGAGTCACAGTAGATAAGTAAACTTAGTAATGAGAAGAACTACATCTGTTATGGTCCATCACTTTGGGGTTGTTATTTCCCCGTGGGATCTTGGGTGTACACATGCAAAAAAATACCTCCCACTGCACGTGAAATTATTTACTATTTTTATTTTACCAGGTAAGCCCCACTGAGCTATATGGCTCTTTAGCAGAAGTGACCTGGTCACAAATAACAGCTCAACGAAGTGGCTTATAATGTGGAAATTTATCGCAGCCAAATACTCTAAAATACGTTTCTAAATGTGGAGAGAAAATCCACGCAATCATAGGAAGAGAGAGACATGCAAACTCCAAATATACAGGTGTCAGGGTTGGGATCGAACCCACGACCTCCTGTATACCCGGCGAGGAAGTTAACATTGCACCACCACGAGATGACAATTAACCTACTTCCGTTCCTCCCTTAAAACAACCCCCATCTCCTCTCCCTAGCCCATGCTACTGCTACTCCCTGCCCCTACCCCCCAGCTACGACCAGGCCTACCACAACCCCTCCTTAACCACTCCCACCTGTTTTCCTAACCGTCACCATAGCAACACCACCACTTTTATTAAAAACCCCACTCTTTATTTCAACCACCATCATCTCACGTACAATTTTTACAATTGTCGTAAAGCACCCTGGAATATGGCGTTATATGAATCTATGTAAGGTAAGCAACACAAAATATTCCTCATGATGGCATTCGTAAGGGATTGCCAATGACATCACCGCCACAGAGAGCATCTAGGCCAGGGGTCGGGAAACCTGCGAATCTGGAGTCGCATGCGGCTCTTTGAGGATCGCTTCGTGACGTTATTTATTAAGGACCACCGTCTCATATTCACATTTGCATTGTGGCTCTTGAAATGATCCAGGTTTTTTTTCCAAATTCGAACAAAAAAATGTCTCTTCTTGTTAATTTGGTTGCTGACGCCCGATCTAGACTATAGGATTTTGACTTAAAAACTTAGAGTCTATAATGCACAGTACTTTGTCATAAAACATGTTTTAAAAAAACGTGCTGTGGAAAAAGGGCCATTGCCGGAAACGTTGCCCATTATATAGTTTCCTTTGAGGCCACACGCACACATACGGTGTTCTTGATGGGATGCGTTGGGAGTTTTTGTCCTGTGCTTGCGCACCACTGCCAACACAGCGGCATCACTGAATAATTTAGTTTAAAATAAAAATTGATTCCCTGCTTAAATGAGCATTGAGGTTGCGCTCATCTCCCACGAAGAGCCCTGGGCCAGTGAGTGAAATTCAAATGTTACTATGGCAGGAGCAAGTGATTCCACGGGATTGCTGACCTCCCCACTAAGTGCTTATTTTATTCACCCCGGAGAGATGATTGGCTGAGTCACGCCCAACAAGTAATTGAACTCGTGACCTTCCAATTGCTTAACGTGGCCACTGACCGTGTCTTTACCTTACCCATAACGCTAACCCCATCCTTAACCCTAAACCTGCTGAAATGACCCACCCACCCTAACCTATACATCGCCATAGCCCTGGCCTAATGCCCCCCCCTCCCCGCTCACCTGTACACGGAGCACATGTTGTCGAGGCCTCCGCAAGCCACGAAGTTCCCCGAGGGGGCGTAGGCGCACGTCATGACCCATGACGACCTCAGCGGGATGGCATGGACCTGGTGGTGATTGGGCTTCAGGTCAGCAGCTTATGAGGTCAAGGTCATCACATTATAAAGTCGTGGGGGGGGGGGTGAGGTGATTTAAGAGGACCCACAATGTACATGTCAGGGTCACCTGAGCCCAATGCCCCTCCGGGCCTGGATTTAAGTCCTGGGTCTGGGTGTGTCGCTTTCAAAAATGAGGCTCATGACTGAGTTAGCGACACTGCACCAGCATCGCCAAACTCGTGGGTTTGAATCCGGGGTTCATCAGCACGCGATTAAACTTGGGTTGTCAGGAGTAGCGGGCTAAAGATCTAATCCCGGTCATCAAATGCATGTGGTGCACAGAGTACACGTGATTTAATTTGGTTTTCCACTTAATTTTGTCTCAACCAGATACGCAGTCTCAATTGGCAGACAGCCACGGGGAAATGGCTGACTGTGGGACTAACGGCGGCGCGTGTGCAAGGTAGACTCTTGAGGGATGCTAACCAAACACCTCTGCTGTTACTTCCATTGTTCCACCGTGACAACGTGTGGCCTTTAATAATAATAGCAACAATATTGTCCTTCATTGACCCAGGACAGCCCGAGTCTCAGGGCCCTGCACGTTGTTGCGTGTGGGCTTATTTTTTTTCGCAATTAAGTAATTTGCGAGTTCTTTTTCTTATTCTTGGCGAATATGGACTGTGATGCCAGCGCACATTGCTGACTTTTTTTTAACGTTCAGGGATCTCGAACGTCCATTATGAAGCAGACGACGTGTAGTTTTTACTGTTAATACCCCCGGCAGTATTAAACAGGGTCGCCACTGGGCTCGGACCACAGATATAGAATGAAATAAAAAATGTTTTGGTGTATGTTCATGCTGCCAGGGTAATTGGGCATCAATCGGTAACAAAATATGTATACATGATTCACATACATATTCATGAGATCATTAAGAGTGAGGTCACAATTTCCGGACGTCAAGAGGTCATTGTAGGTGACGCATTAAGATATTACTAAAAGGGTATGGTGTATCATTTTGTTTTCAAGGAACACTGTCAAATTGCAGTGAGGCCTGGTGAGAGCCTCGCCTAGTTACCTTGTTGTTAGTATACGTGTCCCAGACTATGAGTTTGCCGTCCTGGGATGCACTCACTAACAAGCTGGGGTGAAAGCAGAGGGGGCGAGTAGGGAACACAGATGAGAGGTGGAGAGAATGGGGAGACAATGAGGAAGAAGGTAGGTGGACATAATTGGAGGTGTAGGTAGGTGGAGGCATTGGGAGAGTGGTGTTGGTTGGTAGAGTTATTGGTAGGTGGAGATATGGGGTGTCCGAGGTGTTGGTAAATAGAGGTGTTGGCAGAGAGAGGAGTTTGTTGGTGGAAACATTGGGAAGTGTTGATAGGTGGAGATATCAGGAGGCCGAGGTGTTGGTTAATGAAGGTTAATATAGGTAGAGAGATATGTAGGTTTAGGTGTAGTTAGGTAGAGGAATTGGTTGTTGGAGGCATGATAGGCATTGGTAAGTTAATGTTTTGGAAGGTAGTGGTTTTGTGAGGAAGAGGTGTTGGAAGGTGAAGGTGTTGAGACGTTTTGACATTGGGAGGTGGAGGTGGACAAGCAGGTGGACAGGATAGAGATGGAGACAGACACAGACACACATGGCATGGTCAATCAGATGCAGCAAAAACACAAATGTGATGAAATCGGCAACATGCACAGCACCTTGTAAACACCGAGATGTGGACCTTGTAACGGCACAGTGAGGTTAAACACACACACACGCACGCGCACACACGGTTGCAAGTTCAAACACTGTGAAGGAAATGCAAATACGAATGATCACAAAAATACAAGACGCAAATGAACCCGGAAAAATGCACACGAACCCACACACAACTGTCCTGTCACATGTGCTCGCATGTATGCAGGTGAACCACTGAACACAACAACACGCGCTCACGGGAATGCCAACAAAACACAAATGAGACGCAAATGTGGAGGCACAGGAGCGATGGACTGGGAAGGGAGGGAGGGCGGTGGAACGACGTGCGGGTACACGCCGTGCGCACACGTGGGTACACGCTGTGCATACACGTGCACACCGCGATACCTTGTTGGTACTGCAGGTATCCCACACGATCAGCTTTCCGTCCTGCGAGGCACTCACTAGATTTCTACGCATAGGCACGCAGACAGACATATGCACACACACGTAGAGTAGCGAATATATTAGATTCTTGCGTATGGCAGCAGCAATGCGTTCAAGAGCTAAGTGCCAACTTCGATGTCTGCTGCTGGCCACGACGAGAGGGCTTCACGAGAGAGTTTGTGAAGTTTTGCTGTTCCTCCTTCTGCCTTGAAGAAGTGCGGATTACAGTGGTTTTCTGTACAGTCCATAGTTTGGGTTGCAATCTAATACCGTACACACAGATAATGGGTGGGCAACTGATTCCTTGCCAAGGACTGAATACGACTTTCAAATAAATACCTTTGGCGGGCAACCACGTATGTCGAACTGATTTCGCGCCGTACGTGGCCAATCGTGCTCATCGGAGGTGCGGTGGATGGACAACAAACTAAACACAACAAGCAGCTCACATTGTCGACGCACAGCTCGGCCACTTCCGTCACTGCAAGAGAGGGCCCTTCCATTGAGAGAAGTGACTCGGCGCGACTACAATTAGAAACAGCGGTGCCAGGCCAAATGTATTTCTCCTCTAGGACCCAATTAGCGCGACCCCAAGATGCTTGCAGCGTTCAATAAACGACAACACCACGTGCGGATGTTATGAAATTAAGTCGTGGGCTGCATATGCGGATGCTTGTGAGAGTGACCGATGTCAATTGAGAGTTGAGATTTGACACAAATGTAGTTGGGTCTCTGCTGACCAGGACGGCAGCTATGCAGTGCGTCGGGGCATGCCGGGTGGACCTGTTGCACGTGCTGGAAGGCGAGACTGTCGCATGGTGGCTACATGGCCTTACGTCCACTCGTATAACATTGACATACACGTGTATTTATTTTCCTTGTGTATCTGGTGCTCTGTGTGAAAGTTACGTGTAAAAGAATTAGCTAAAAAAAATGCTCATAATCAGACAAATCTGAGAACAACGACGCTCGATAATGCACCCATTGCCTAAATGCTCTTACATGGCAGTGTGGTACGCGATGTAAGATAACGCCATTTAATTGCCAAATCGAACACGCCTGCATCGTTCTTGGGATGACGTGACTGTGGATTGCCCGCGAGCATATCGCGTGAGGTCCAGGAAAAACGTGTGGCAGATGATTGAGTTAACATTGAAAATATGACGGTAAAAAAATACTCTGTCTACCAGACTGATTTGTCTCATCCGTGCCGTCTTCAACCACCACACTGCAGGTCAAAACTGCACCCACACTCACTTACCCCCACTCACCCACCCGCACCTCCAATCAAGAGGTGTGAAAGAAGTTCAACACATATACATACACCCACTACACTGCAGGTCTAACACTTCTCTTTCGGCTTCTTCACTCACACTGCTGCGCTTTGGAATGCATTACCATCGTTGCTTTTCCAAAGCTCTCATAATAATAATAAGAATCTCCCTATCCATTATAATTTTAATAGCGCTATTTGTTCCTGACCATTCGACTATTTGGGGCCTTTGGGATTGTGTTCAACAACTGTGTAAAAAAATATATAAATCAAATGAGCTTCGTGTTCAAGCTTAACCCGAAATCATTCTCACTTCCTCCACAATTCCACAAACACACGTAGGGAGTCGCATGACTCGGCAATGATATTCACACGAGCAGGGCCTGTGAGCAAGGGGTGGAACCTTGTGGGTTATCATGGAAAAAGAGCAACAGTGCAACATCAAGCGATGCGTTTCAATGGGGAAGTCTCCCTCTGATATTCAAGTTGCAGCAGCCTGTGCGGAACACGCTTTGCATGAACCGCACGCCGAGCGGAACGCGTTTGAAAGGCACCATCGCATGTGCGATGAGCGACTGAGACAATTGTTTTCAGTTGAAGACTTCCTTGGCGAATACCAAGCAAATGAGCCGAGAGGCAAACGTTGCGGTAGCGAGCATTGGTGACGATACTCCAGCGATAATTCGTAATGAGGATGAAACCGGTACAAAGCTGTTTATCACTGCATCACTGCATTTGCTCAAATGTACTTTGGTGATAAGCGAAGACAATTGGCCCACAACGCATTTCTTTATTAACTTCTGATGTTTTTTTTAGCAGAATGCACAAAAGTTGAGTAGCTTTTACACACGATTTTTTGTGAAATGTTTGTAAGCTCCACGGCTGCCCCCAGAAGTCAAACGATCGCTAGCAGTGATGCAACAGTGCGGAAGGAAACTGCTGCTTCGAGGGGTGACCCACGCGGTGCCGGAGCCTGGATGGCATGGGCCCCGCAGTAAGGAATTAAATGAGGCCCTCATAGCCCGGCGCTTGGGCCCCTCTGGCCTCAGGCCTGTGAGCTGTGTTGCAGTTTCACCCCCTGCTGGTCCCACACGAGAAACTCCAAGCTCAGTTTTTTATATTATGAGCAGAATGGATGATTTAGTTAACTGTATTTCATATCATTGCAACTCTGATGAGCACGGTTGGCTATGTACGGTACGAAATCAGTTTCAACGTACATACGTAAGAGCTACCACATCTGGGAGGCTCAGCGAGGACACATGCCCGGGTTTGGTAGCTCCTCCCTCCTTCAAACGGCCCCACCCATTTTTTTTCTACAACCACGCCCACCCAACCACTAGCTCCACACAAAAACTCCATGTAGCCACGCCCACTGTCGTGGTAGCCCCGCCCCTTTGCCTGCATTGTGAGCCGAGCAAAAGGCCAGAAAGTGTCGTTCAACATACGGAACACATGGAACAAGTCTGTGAAAATGAGATTTGTAGCTCATCAGATTCCTCCAGTGTAAATACATATTTCCGTTGTTTTTTTTATTTTGATTCAACGACAGTAAACAGCCATCATTAGCCACCAAGGTCCGCCGATGTCATCGCTGACCTGGGGTGGCCAGGCTAGGTTCAAGCCGAGGCTGCGTGGAGTGAAGGCTCAATGGGAAGAGGTCACGGGGGGGGGGGGGGGAGGAGGGGTGGTACAGACCCAGGTAATTTGGGTAAACAGGTGAAGTCATCATAGTGACACACACGCGCACACACATACCACAAGTCTATATATACACACACCAAAACACGAGGATTTGCATTCACAGTGACAAGCTCGATTTCAAATGGCCACACGAGCACATACAGCCTACACGTGTGACACAAAAGACAAAGACCCCCCCCCCCCCCTGCCCCGTATAACCTTAACAGACTGTTGGGGCAAGTGCTGTTAGCGAGCACCTATGAAGGCCGGCACGACACATGAGGGATGGCCCACACCACGCCCAAGTGGCGATGTTTACGCACCGCACCAGGTACTTATTTGAGGACGAGTCGATGTAGGGGAGACCCAGGGCAGGTTCAGATCATCGTCACTGGTGTTGGCCATGAGCGGGAATTGAATTCGGGTGGCTGGGTTCGTAGTGCACCGCGCTAGTCTGTTAAGGCTATGAGCCGGTTTTCACAGAGTACACAGATTTCTGTTAAGGTCACTCATAACTTCAGCGTGAATTTACCATAGCGAGCCATCTGCTACAAAGTGGAGCTTAAAGACCACACGACATCATCTCTCACAAGAGCAGATGTTTACGTGTGTGCGTGTATGTGCATGTGTGTGTACGTGTGTGGAAGCGGTAGTGTAGTGGCTAACGCGCTGTGCTACGAACCCGGCGATCCGAGTTCAATTCCCGCTCATTGCCCAACACAAAGTGACAATGATCTGAATCGGTCCTCATCCACAAATGAGTACCTGGTGCGGTGTGCAAAAACATCGCCACTTGGGAGACAAAGGCGGTCGGACGTGGTGCTGGCCACCCACCCCTCATGTACTCTTCCAGCCTTCATCGGTGCTCCCTACAGCACTTGCCCCAACAGTCTGCTAAAGGTTGTACGGGGGATCTTTGTCTTTGTGTGTGTATGGGGCCATCCATTTGGAACGTACGCAAAAATCTGTCAAAACTTGACCCCTTCCCCCCTCCTTGTACGCACGCGGACTTTTTACCCCCCCCCCCCCCACCTGCGTACGAACGCCTGACGCACCCCCCACCGCCGAATCCTATAGAACGGCCGATATTTAATCCACGCAGAAACGATCAAGGATTGAAAAGATTAATGTGTTTAAGCAAACAGATCGTCCACCCTCCGGACTATCTAACTCATTTGAAGGCCAATGTAGACAAATTATTATCGAGGCTTCACCCCCCCCGCCCCGTTTCCTACGCGTACATTGTCAGTAGACCCCCCCATACGCAAGCGTACGCGTTTGGGTTAACCCCCCCCCCTCCGCTCCATGCGTATGTACTAAATGGATTGCCCCTATATGCATGTGTGTGCATGTATATGTGCATGCATGTGTATATTCATACATGTATAAATATACATGCGTATATGTGCATGAAGATGTATGTATGTGCATATAAATATGCACATACACACACACACACGCACATAGCCTGGTACAAGCACCGTGGTGACGTCACTGCCACTTAGTGCCGAACGGTGGTTGTTATTGCCGTTGTAGATATGCGAGCGCGTATACACATGTGCGTGTATGTGTGTATACACCAGTGTGTACCGTGAGTCGGTGCTCCAGTGGCAGGCGTAGATTTTGGCGAGGTGACCGCGCAGAGTTCGCCGAGTCCTCAGCTGGATCCGCCCCACGGGGTCCAAGCTGGCTGTGACCTACAGTCACACAAAACAAAACGTTCCCCCAGGTAGCCTTTAACTCACTGTTGGGCCACCTGTAGAGGCTGGCACAACACACAAAGGAGGGTGGTGGCCAGCAGCAGGTCCGTCCGCTAGTGTCTCCCCAGTTCCCGATGTTCGCTCATTTAAGGCCGAGTCGACCCAGGGGAGGCCCAGGACCGGTTCGGATATCCGTCAATGATGTTGGATGCGAGCGAGAATCGTTTGTGTGCCAACTACCCTGCCAGTCAACGTGGAACCGTTGGGCCATGCCAACAAAATCCAACCATGCGCCAAGGTTGAGCCGATGTTGGGCACGTTCACCGGGATACCGCCGCTCCCCACCGTTACACACACCAGGAGCGGTAATGTCAATGCATGCGTGGATGTAAATCCATACCTGTCAACCCATACGGTTCATCCGTATTCTTGTACAGGGAAATTGAGTTCTCAGGTCCATACGGCGTACAGCCGTTTGAATATGGGCATTTTTTTGTCTATTAGTTTGTGTTTCTCCCTTGTGATGGAACTTTGTAGGATGAATGTTGAGATCTATAAGGACACGGGGTGACCAATAAGGGTTGAATTGGTCTGATAAGGGTTTGACAGGTATGTGAATCACATCCATTATTATTGTGCTTAACCAGGAACACCTCACCGAGTCTCTAGACTCTTTTAAGGAGGGTACAGCCAGGTGTTTGAAGGAGGACGGTGATGTTGCTGCTGCTATGTGTGATCCCAATTAAGACATTTTTTTCTGGGGAAATGTTCAGCTTTGGGATGTTTGGCCAATACCAGTTACACAGTATGGTTTGTTTGCTATGGAAGGGAACTAGAGAAATCAGAGAAAACCCATACACAGAAAGGCACCTGAGTAAGGAATCAAACCCAGGCCCTCCTTAAAGTAAGGCACAAGTCGAACCCCTGCGCTGGCCAAATATATAACATTCATAGTATTCAGAAAATCTTCAAAATAGTGAAGAGAATACAATTACTTCGCATAATTAATGGAAAACGTTTATAATCTTGATCACAGTAAAAGTGATGTTTCGTTTTATATAGCGTCGTTCATGCCAATTGCATTTCACAATCGCTAAGGAAGCAGAGACGAGCGGGAAGTGAGCCACGCGGTGAGCCAGCGAGAACAATTGCCCAAGCTCTGCAGTCCTCTATAGATTTCGTTAATTTCAGCCAGTTAATCAGTGTTTACACATGCAGGAGAAAACCCAGAACATTGCAGCAACTATTGAACCCTTTGCATCGGGGCACTTGAACCGTCTCTTCACAGGGCACGAAATGTCGAATTCCCACAAAGTGCTATGTACGGCACATACTTGGTTTAGTTTAGTTGACTTCAACCATGTGATACCACACGTACTTAGTTGAGTTTACTTTGTTTAAACAGGAGAGAACTCGAGAGACCAGGTTTAGTCTAAGTTGCACGACTGACATGGGTCAGCAAAATGCCAAAACCAGCACAAATTAAATAACATACAGCAATGAAGCAAATAGAAAACAGAGCAAAACCAATCGCATCACAAGCGAGATGGCAAGTTGTCGCACAAACACAAATGGACGCTGCGCGAATTGGCCCAGGCAGATTATTTTTAGATTTGTCATGGTACAATGACAAATTCGAATTAACAGTGAGCAGTGAGCTGTTAAGGTGAGGATAAGAGTGAGGGCAAGGGCAACCTACTAATTCACTTAATTCACAGACCCGGAGCCAACCGCAATAACCGGAGGTGCGGGGGAAGATAACAAACTAAACACAAAAATCAGTTCTACAGAAATTAGTTTTTAATCCAGATGATTTAAAAGTGCATAACTCCAGTGTCTTCCTCATATTGGAAGGAAGAGCGTTCCAGACGGCCGCAGAAGCAGATCTGAAAGTGCGCGATGCAGTGACCACCGTCTATGTTCGATGGCTCAGCCAAAAGCCGCTGCAAGGATGAGCAGAGTTTGCGTGATGGTTCATTCTCTCCTTGACGAGATAGCCATGGTATCGTGGTTCATTTGTGGCAAAAAGATGATGATTGTTGGCCATGCCGATACCCAACCAATGTGACAAGTCTGGTGGTCAGCCAAAGAACCGCTTGCTTGGATATTATTATTAATTACTCAACAATGTACATTTACCAGCGTGGCTAAGTACGATGAACTAATCACCATAACCGACATTGCTTCATCCAGCAGTGGATTGACAAAGGGCTGTAAATGATGTTATTTTTTATCAGTATACTTATAACCTTTGTGGGGTTGGGGGGGGGGAACGTTGGCCAAATATTGCCTGTTGTAGGAAGTATGTTGGCAAACTATTATCTTTAAAGAATGTCAAACTGAGTTAAATGATGACGTCACCCTGCTGCTCTATTTAAGACCGAGAGCAAGTGAGGGCTTTACCATTCTGGCGAATTGCCCGATGATGCTGGATGTAATTACCAGCAAAACGTCGTACTACTCAAACTGTACATGTTGTGGATTCACTCTTCAACACACCGGTGGGCTAAAGTAGTGAACTAATTGTCTTTTGTCAACGTGACACTTTATTTTGCTGATTGGCCGTGCCGGGTGGTGGAGGGTTTCGACACATTTATAAATAACGCGATCTAACCCAAAAAAACCTTTATTATGAATAATATTGGTCGCGAAAGCCTACGTGTTAAACTGAATATCAAACTGTTAAACCTACAAACAGGAAAGAAGGGGCAATCGTACCTGTGCGAAGGTGGTGTCCGCAAATGCTTTCCTGGCCTCCTGTGACACACAAACGGCACAGGCAGGGATCGTGAGAAACCAAGGGCACACACACGCGCGGCAGGCGATGCTGATGGCGATGCTGAAGGCGATGCTGATGGCGATGCTGATGCCGGTGGTGGCGGTGGTGGTGGTGTGTGTGGTCCTGCCCTTAACATGGCAAACAAAAAAAATCTGCCACTTTATTACTTGTCAACATTAAATTCGCAAATTCTATACAATGTAACAATTTCCCAACCCCCCCCCCCCCCCCACACACAGCGAGTAGATTAATTCTCAGAAATTGAGCTCGTGACCTGATTCAATATACTTTAGCTTTTCACCACCCACTTTATTTCCCGAATGCAGCTATCGGCGTCGCGTCGCGAGACAAAGCACCCACTGGGATTGCTCGCACAGCAGTGCAGTGCAACCCTTCATGTCACAGAACAGCCCCCGCAGAAGTGGATATCACAGAGCTACCGCTTGTGAAATAATGTTTCGACGCAGTCGGGGGCAGCACCTTCCCACGTGTGCTCTGCCAAAGAGGGGTAATATTCGTTGCGCGAGAGTCAGAACCATTCCCTCTAGCTCTCGAGATAAGATTCAAGCCGAAAATACGTGCAGGGCCGTTTGGTGAACGAGCCGAGGCTATCATATCTGCACGCATGGGGACCCCAGTGGGATCACGAGTGGCCCCCAGTGGGATCACGAGTGGCCCCCAGTGGGATCACGAGTGGCCCCCAGTGGGATCACGAGTGGCCCCCAGTGGGATCACGAGTGGTCCCCCAGTGGGATCACGAGTGGCCCCCAGTGGGATCACGAGTGGCCCCCAGTGGGACCACGAGTGGCCCCCAGTGGGATCACGAGTGGCCCCCAGTGGGATCACGAGTGGCCCCCAGGGTCCCAGGGGTACCAGCTTGGCGCTCGGATCTCTGTGCCGCCCGGCCACCTTCCAATCTTAATTAATTCGTATTTGTGCAATTGTGTTTTTTACGCCTTACGATTCGCTCTTTGCAAACTGTTGAAAAATATTTTTACGTTTTATTGCTTGTAAACAAATGTTCCGGTTTTCTGAAAGAAAAAAAACCAAATCAACTGGCACATTTGCCCATGTGACTAATTGATATACTCTATAGGGTTGTGGTAATAAAACAAAAAACTTGCATAATACACGATAATGCAACCCAAAATAAACGAATTACGGATCGTCATTTTGGTTGTGAAAGCCTTCATATTCACTTTTTTTAACACGTGTTGTTTGCTGTCGCATTCTCAGTTTTGTTCAGTCCACGAGCCGAAATGTAACATTCATCTATAATGTGAATAAATGGGAAATGATTGACGCGAACACGCACAATTAATTGATTTGTGTTGGGAGTGCAAGAATCGATTGTCAGTGACATATCGACGCGTCGTTACACGCCGAGTTGGCATCGATGAAATGAACTTGAAGGATGATGACGAGGATTTCAGCGGTGGTGCCGGTTAAGGTGATGAGTGACAGTGGTGTAGGTGGTGGTTAGTGGTGGTCGCATTGAAGATGCCGCAGGGAAGTAGTAGTGCAGCGGTTAGGATGTTGCGCTACGAAATCGGCGACCTGGGTTCGATTCCCACTCACGGCCACCACCAGTAACAATTATTTTAACCAGTCCTGGGCGTCCTCTAGGTCGACTGAGCCTCAATTGAGTACCTGGTGCGGTTTTGTAAACATCGCCACTAGAGAGACAAAGGTGGCCGGGTGTGGTGCTGGCCACCCACCGTCTCTTGTGCCGTGCCGTGCCGGCCTTCATAGGTGCGCCTCGCTAACAGCACTTGCCCCAACAGTCTGTTACAGGCTATACGGTGGATCTTTGTCTTTGATGTTGCTGGCGATGTCTTTGATATTCATAGTCATGTTTAAAAATAATTACCGATGGTACTGGTTGATGTTGCTGTTGAAGCCGCTGCTGATGGGACTGGTAATGCTACCGATGGTGATTTAAAGGATGCTGCTCATGGTATCGTTGATTGCGGTCATGACGTAAAAGAAGCTGCCGCCGCCACTGATGGTGCCGTCGATGGTGTTGTTGTGGTGCTGGTGCTGACGGTGGTGGCGACAATGTTGAGAATGATGCCAATGGTGCCAACGATGTTGTTCGTGATAGTGCCGAGGCGAGGCTGATGATGCTACTCGTAGATCAAGGGTGCGCACCTTGATCTGGTTGCGTAGCTGTTCCGCCTCCTGGCGTAGTTTCTCCAGCTCACTCATGGTGGCCGAGCGGTGCGGTCAGAGCGAGGCACCGTCCCTGCGCACCAGCGGCAGCAGCAGCAACGTGTCCCGTCAAACACAGCCTCACAGAGTCTCTCGGGCCCAAATCGCCTTTTTTTGGCACAGGTGGCTACATGCTGTAACCGCCCTGTCCAGCTGGTCATCATAATTATCATTATCATCCCCGGTCTCTGGTGAAGTCTTTAAAATGGCAGTGGTCTCGAGAGACTAGTTATTTGACGGTGCAGTCTCTCGTGGAGTATTTACACAATGTGTAGACGGTCCCGGTTTCTCCGAATGGGTCCCTAGAAAAGAGGCTGACAGGCCAGTCACTGACTGGGCTCTTCAGACAGCCGACTGACAGACCCACGGTCTTACGCTAGTCAGAATGAGTCACTCAACCGATGGCTTTTGTGTTTACACGTTACAGACGCAAAGTGTCCCATAGTTTCAGAAGTATGGATGACGCATCCTGAGAATCATAAATCTTTATTTATCCTGGAGAAATCCCATGAGCTATGAAGCTATTTTTCCACAGATGTCCAGTAGGAGCGGGTCAGAAAGTTACAACAAATACCAAAAACGACAGGAGTGCAAATTATTGGAAAGGTAAGCAAATGACTAAAATAAATACGTAAAATAGATTAAGTACATCAGTTCAAATTGCTTAAGCACACCAATTCCCAAGTTTGGACAAGGCAGAAAAATAGCAAAAACCAGTCCCAGACCACAGCAAGACAACACAATACAATTGCACATTCAAATTGAACTATCGATCCACGGGTAAGGATGAAACTTGCAAATTACATTCGCAAACGCATCCTGTGTAGCCAAAAGACTAACAGACAATACTCTGATACGGAGGGGGCCCTCTGTAGAGGAAAAAAAAGATACGGAAGACCGACCTCTGATTTGGCATGGTCTGTGGAAAACGACAGATCACCAGGGACCGGCCCCGGATTGGACCTTTAGACGATGGCAATAGCTTCTGGTGGGTGGGTAGAGGGGGGGGTAGGTCTCTTCCAGAAAGCAAATATACAGAAAGCCTCTGGTCTCTCGGCAACATTATCTTCAGAGAGAGAGAGAGGGCGGGGGGGGGGGGGAAAACTCACGCGTGCTCTGACGTTACAAAAACCCCAGCAACATCGTGACGAAATTAGGCCCGCGGCAATTTTTGCCAATGTATTTCTACAACCAAGTTGAGAGAGCGAGAAAGATCGATAGATCTCCTCTGCGTGGAAGAAGAAGAAGAAGAAGAAGAAAAAAAAAGAGATGTACCATCATCCCGCACCACCGATTTTAACGCCGTTGGCCACGTACGGTTCGAAGGAAGTTCAACGTTACAGAGGTCGAAGAGCTGAGTTCAGCACTGTTTGGTCCTGTGTGCCAATCCAGGCAGCTTGCTGTCCTGTGACTAAACTGGGTTTTCAAGTGGAGTGAAGTCGATTGTCTCCGCTGCGCCTCCAATCACAGCGCGCGCAAAGCTGCGTCATTACTTTTCGTTTTGAACTTAATTTGGCTAAATCGGGCTCTGAGAATTAAAAGTTTTAAGAAATATAAAAAATATATATATGGGATTGCCTTGCCACGCGATTATCTCAATGCAGAACGCATGGGAAAGCGTCAAGGGTGTAAATGTCGCTTGAAGTTTTTTTTTGAAGTCCTGCGAAAAACATATCCTACATATATGACGTTCATCGTGACATATCGTTACACATAACACAAAGCGAGAGAGATCGACCCGTGGAAATATATCTAAATATACACACTGTATAAAGGTAAAAACGATACAACCACACACACGCCACACACCACACGTACGAAACGAAACCAGAACACTTCGACGTACGTCCTGACCTCGACCAAAAACGAATTCTCTACAAACTAACAACACAAACACACAAACACAAAATCCCAGTGTGTGATCACAACAACAACAACAAACATCTCTCTCGTTCTCGTGTTCGCGAGCACCTATTAAGGCCGGCACTTTTCGAACAGGAAGAGCGATAAACACAGAGGAGACGGCGGTGATGTCCAACTCACCTGCTGCGCTCCGCTCTTCGAACTGCTTGAGCCTCGTCTCTCTCTGTCTCGCCTTGTCCCACTACCCCCGGTGTGTGTGTGTGTGAGCGTCTCTCTCTCGCCTTGTCCCACTACCCCACCGTGTGTGTGTGTGCGAGCGTCTCTCTCTCTAAGCCGTGTGTCTGTGTTAAGTCTTTCTGCGTTCACACCCCCCACACACACGCCCTCCCTCTCTCTCTCTCCGCCTCTACGAGCTTAAGCGACTCAAACCCCGGACCCGGCAGCACTGACGTTCACAGGCGCCTAGAAATCCGCGGAAGCACCGCGCACACACACCTACCTGCCTGCTACAATACACACACACATACACCTACCTGCCTGCTACAGTACACACACACACATCTACCTGCCTGCTACAATACACACACACACCTACCTACCTGTTACAATACACACACACCTGCCTGCTACAATACACACACACCTACCTGCCTGCTACAATACACGCACACACCTACCTACCTGCTACAATACAAACACGCACACCTACCTGTTACAATACACACACACCTACCTGCCTGCTACAATACACACACACATACACCTACCTGCCTGCTACAATACACACACACATACACCTGCCTGCCACAATACACACACACACACCTACCTGCCTGCTACAATACACACACACACATCTACCTGCCTACCACAATACACACACACCTACCTGCCTGCTACAATACACACACACGCACACACCTACCTGCCTGCTACAATACATACACACACCTGCCTGCTACAATACACACACACGCACACACCTACCTGCCTGCCACAATACACACACACACCTACCTACCTGCTACAATACACACACACCTACCTGCTACAATACACATGCGCACACACATTTACCTGCTACAATACACACACACACACCTACCTGCCACAATACACACACACCCTGCTACAATACACACACATACCTACCTGCTACAATACACACACACACACCTACCTGCCACAATACACACACATACCTACCTGCTACAATACACACACGCGCACACACACACACGCAACAAAGACACAGATCCCCCCTTGTAGCCTTTGACAGACTTTTTGGGCCAAGTGCCGTTATCGAGTCACTTTACTTATTCTAGATTTAAAGCTTTACTTACCTATAAAGGCCGGCAGGGCACACACAGCGGGTGGGTGGCCGGCATCACGCCAGTGCGGGAGTTTGCACACCGCACCGGGTACTCATATTAAGGCTGAGTCGACCTAGGGGGGGCCGGGACCGGCTCGGATATTCGTCACTGTTATTGGTCGTGAACGGGAATCAAACTCGGGTGCGGCCCGGTTCGTAGCACATCGCACTGACCACTTCACACACACACACGTGCAGGTTGTGTGCACACATCATCAGCAGCAGCAGCAGATGCCATTTGCCACCATATGGTGGTGATTGTGACGTCACCGTGGTGCTTGTGCCCGACTAGGTGCACTTTGAGCCCACGCAAGATAAAGACAAAGATCCCCCGTATGGCCTGAGCAGAATGTTGGGGCAAGTGCTGCTATGCACACGTACTCACGGTAAAGCTATATTGGAGATTGTGCGTGCTGTGAAGTAGGGCCATGCATTTGAAGCGTTGCCTATTGTGTAAATATCCGAGCTTGTTTGCCCGTTCCGAGGACGGAGCATAATTGTATCTTGTGTAAACTTAATGGCAGTGAATTTTGCACAAAAGTACGTCATCAAAGACTTCACTGCATTTCACTGTAGCACTGTATATAAACTGACCTTCAATTTGTTCAAATTCACTGCTCTAATACTTTATTCTCTTCTGCTTTCGGTCGCTGGGGTTGAAAATAAATTGGAATTCGATACAATATCTGGAAAATCACCGAGAAATGTCTATTTTACCATAATGTAGAAGCATTAATTAGACTTACCATTTGTCTCAAGCGCTGAAGAAATAAAGACACCAAATCCACTTTGTCGCTTGCGTAGAATGATTTATGAGATTCACTTTCAATAAAGAAATGTCAAACTTAAAGCGAATTTGCGAAAAAAAATATTTTCGCTCGACCTTCTGCGTGAGTGTAAAAATCCACCTGCTCATGAATATTAACGAGGGGGGCGCGGCATGTGGAGTGACGTCACGCGCGTTACACACAGACATTCTTGGCTCATACCTACCATATTCACCCAGGAATATCTGTCTTGAACGCTCGTGACGTCACTACACATCGACCAGCCCCCCTAATTAATATTCATGAGCAGGTGACGTCCTCCAAATGGACACCCAAACCACCCCTCCTCATTAATAATCATGAGCGGGTGACTTCACTCAATATGGAGTACTCTCCCCCCACCCCTCACTAATAATCATGCGCAAGTCACGTCACTCCACATCGAACAGCCCCCTCATTAATAATCATTATAAGGTGACGTCCTTCAAAAATTAGCGGCTGACGTCACTCCACATGGGGGGGGGGGGGGCGAGGCGCCTCCTCCCCCCTCCTCGGCGTCAACTGACAACCCTCACTACAAAGGCAGAACCCTCACGTCACGTGATCTCCGTAACGCTGTTGTTGAGACATCGAAGTAAAAAGGACGTCACGATGAACAAGCGATTATAACAATTAAATGAAATAGGTCTGTGTCACCGCGCCATTACTAATTGCACACGAATGGATGCAATGAACATATCACGTCGCGGTCTGATTTTCGCTTGCAAGTTTCAGATTCACTGCAATAAACGCGTCATTGGACGGGCAAAAAGGCTAGTAGTTCATCTAGTAATTGTGTTACTTTTAAGGCCACACTAATATGTCTGTCGATGTTGCTTCTTCTCAATGGGACCTTTCTTGACAGCATCAAAATATAAGAATAGGTTTTACCATTTCTGGAAATAAAACAGGCGTGAAGATATATATTCTTGGTTCTTTCGGTAAAGTCACGTAGATTGCTTGTGTTGCAATCGAAACGTCGTGAGAATATTATTGGTTTATATTTTTATTATTTCATTGTTTCTCTTATACGTGTTGGTGACGTTACCGAAAGAACCAAGAATATGAATCCCTGCAGTCACGAAAGCTTTAAATCAAACTTTAGGTGTGAAGATGTTAAAAACACCAGACAGAAACTTTTGCAAGGAATCCTGTCTGCATTAGACACACGTACTTGTGGTGAACATGCGAACCAAAAACACATCTTAACACAACTGTTTTATTGCCAGAAAGGGTAAAAGCTCTTCTTATATTTTGATATACTGGCAGGAAAGGTCTAATATTGGAGCTGCTCACCCCAAGCTATCAATTATTATTTTTTATTTTCAGTTTATTTATTTTGGTATAGCCCTGTGAGCCATTTGGCTCTTGAATCGGGTGCAACCGCAACAAACAAAAAAAACCACGAACAATAAAACATCTTAAAGTGACTACGTGACTGTGCAAACAGAAAATACATGAAAAAAACAGCAAAGTATTCCTGAAAAAAACACCCTACACCAACGCTGATAGTGGCATTGTGTTTGTGCTGTTCGCCTTTTGCCGTTCAATGATCTAGCACCGTTTGAGACTTTGCCATAAAATAAAGCTGTCTCTGGTGTGGATCAATCCGTTTCAAAGACAATGCATCAATATTTTATACCCACGTGACTTTAACGAAAGAACCAAAGAGTATGGATTCCTGCTGTCACGAAAGCTTCAAATCAATAATCAAACCAATGTTAAGATGTTCAAACGTCAAATTGATACCTCTGGTAAGGGATCAAGTCCTGCTTTAACCACACACACACACACATAACCTGTGGTGAGAACATGCAAACAATGCTCTGACAACACTATATGCATTGTCTTTGAAACGAATTGTTCTACACCAGAGACAACCTTCTTTAATAACCTGCCTCTGGTTGGAGACTAAATCCGCTTCAAAGACAATGCATCAATATTTTTTACCCACGTGACTTTAACGAAAGAACCAAAGAGTATGGATTCCTGCAGTCACGAAAGCTTAAAATCAATAATAAAACCAATGTTAAGATGTTCAAACGTCAAATTGATACCTCTGGTAAGGGATCAAGTCCTGCTTTAACCACACACACACACATAACCTGTGGTGAGAACATGCAAACAATGCTCTGACAACACTATATGCATTGTCTATGAAACGAATTGTTCTACACCAGAGACAACCTTCTTTAATAACCTGCCTCTGGTTGGAGACTAAATCCGCTTCAAAGACAATGCATCAATATTTTTTACCCACGTGACTTTAACGAAAGAACCAAAGAGTATGGATTCCTGCAGTCACGAAAGCTTCAAATCAATAATAAAACCAATGTTAAGATGTTCAAACGCCAAATTGATACCTCTGGTAAGGGATCAAGTCTGCTTTAACCACACACACACATAACCTGTGGTGAGAACATGCAAACAATGCTCTGACAACACTAAATGCATTGTCTTTGAAACGAATTGTTCTACACCAGAGACAACCTTCTTTAATAACCTGCCTCTGGTTGGAGACCAAATCCGCTTCAAAGACAACGCATCAATATTTTATACCCACGTGACTTTAACGAAAGAACCGAAGACAATGCACACATTACCCGAGCATGTTTTTTGTGTTTGCATGTTCACCACGAGTCCGTGCGGTTAATGCAGACAGGATTCCTTGCAAGGTTTATGTTTGCGCGCTTTAACATATTTCATTACCAGAAAGGGTCAAACCTATTCTCATGTTGCTTCTTCTCCCTTGCCTACGGCTGCACGAATGGCAAAGCGCACGCCTATGTTCGAGTTATTCCACTTTTAGTTGCATTTCAATTGACTTGTTCGGCCCATTTGTGGCATTGATCTTTGTCCGATTTGATGGAATTCGTCTTTGGTATTTCGCGCGTCCAACACTTAAAGGGGCCACCATCGTTCAACCCCTCTGTAAAGGCGCTTTCGTAGCTAAGCACTTCACTGCGTCCATTCAGGGCGTTCACATAATCGAGGGCCTCCGCTCAAAAAAGGTTCCCCCGCCGAGTCGCAAGACTAATTTATTAAGGGAAGACCTGCATGGCGATGTTTGACAGAATTTAATTCATGAGTGTCTGGCTTATTGTTGGGGGGGGGGGGGAACGACCTGGAGAAAATCCCCACCGCCGACACGAGGAGATAAC